CCCCCCCCCCAAGTCAGCTCCCAGACCTCATTCACTGCACTTGAAATGCGTATTGAGTTCCGAGCAGACTGTTAAATGTGTTCTCCACCGGTCGTCTGGTCACCGTCACCCAGCGCCCGGCCATCAGAAGGTCGTCAATTAATTCATCCCAGCTCCTGCCTCCATATTCATTGCCGAGTAGGTATTTACAAATGGTGTCCATCACCACGTAACCTCCTGAAAGATAAAAAAAAAATGAACATCCATTGTTTCCTTGTTTTTGAAATATTTTTCCATTTTGCTTTTTTAAAAAGGGGCTTTTTTGTTTTGTCATCAGGCTATAGTACATATAAGTTGCCACTGAGAATTGCCAATAGATAGTAGTAAAACAGATTTGATAGGGCTTACTTTGGAGAAAAATTACGGTGTAATTTTAAAATTTTGAAAAAATGGTTTTCTAAGGAACATGTATTATGTGGTAGATGGTTTAATATATATTAGCTGTATATTTCCAAGGAAACAAATAATTGGAGATGATAGTATCCATATTATGAGAAAGTAAGTAGGACGCTTACCGGTGTATTTGTCTCCAATATATTCAACCTGGCATTTCTTTAAAATTTTTAATCAAACTATACATTTGGAAATACATTTGGTCGCATTCAGTGTGGAAGCAAATACCCCTGAGTCTTGCTTATTAAATAATTAGTCAATTGATTGCTGTTATGTTACACGCTGCACATGTGCCTTCCCTCCTCCATTTCTCCATCTTGCTCAGCTGACATGCCAATGTGGCAAACGTCAAATTGCCTTCTTTTTTTTTACCTGATATTATAATATGTCATAAAACGGACAAAGTGACCTACCTGGTTTAACAATACGAATGAATTCTGCAAAGCACCTTCCATCCATATGACCAGGAGCTACCGCTCCTGTCATCATGACCGCATCGTATGTGTCTAGTAATAAATTAATAGATAAATAAACGAAGATGTATCCATAACCGTTCCCAGTGTTGCGTACGATAAATACTTAAAGTCATAATAACTCTTCGTTTTGGCCAAAAATTGGATTTTCCTGGAAAATACGGCAATTTTCCCGTACTTACCAATGGTCAACGACCCCATTCCTGCATTCTAAGTTAATCCAGGTTTTTTTTCCTAAACGTACGGTTTTTTGTTAAAATCGATATTAACTGACGAAGCCCTCTCTGACATTGCATAGTCACTGGTGACCGACTTAAAACCGCGGGAAAAGCAGACAACAGCAACACTAGGCCTATATAACAATAATATAAGATTCATGAGATATATTCGTCTTTTTGTTAAAAATGCATTTATATCCACAATGTGTGCCATTCTTGGCCTTTCTTTATCCGATGCACTCTACAAAAACTCGCAACTTACGTCTGCGTCTGCATCAACGCGTTTCGCGCCATGTTATTTTGGTCTCGAATGAACGCGAGAATCCGCGTGACACCCTTACATCATTAGCAACGGATGCCTTGACGACCGGGAATAAAGGCCGTTTTAGTGGTATAATACAATAGAATATATTTCCATGCGTTGTTTACAGTGTATTTCTTGGGGAATTTTGAATCTCAAAGGAAGAGTTATTTTTGCTTTAATGTAAGATTTTATCTTAAGATAGAGCTTAAATTCTAAAATGTATCATCTGAAATTGCCAGTTTAATATTGTTTTCATCGATGTATAGTGTCAATGTTTTTTTAGTTTTGTAAATGCTATGATTGCAAAACTTGAGTGATAACTCTAATTACGTTATTAATTCTTACGCTGAAGTTTACAATCGAGTATGTCAATTGTATTGAGTATTCCTTTTTGTTAACTCACGAAGACTGAATGAGTATTTAAGTTGATTATATTTGACAATCAGTTTTCTTTCTTGCAAACACTTCATTGTTACATTATATTTTATTCCACCTGCAAATGCAGTGACACAATACATATTAAGACTATTTAACAGGGGTTTCTTTGTCAAAAAAAAAAAAACCTGTCTTGGACACATCTATGTGTGTATGTTTTCATACAATCCAATAAATTGACGATCATCTTTCAATGGGAGATTTGTCCAAATTAACTACATGTAATTCTCCAGAGCGTTTTAAAGATATAATGTTTCAGCATGGTGACAGGTAACAAAATTTGACACCTTTTGCCCATTTGGCCATTATTTGCATTAAGTCTCTAGCTGGTATCAGAAGAAAATATATATTAGAATGTGAACATATGAAAAAATACTTACCATCAGGAATATCCAGCACCTTAGGACCAAGACTCATACACATCACCTTTTTATAGATATTCTTCTGCTTGGCCTTTTCAAGCATTTTACTACATCTGTCGAAGGCATGGAGGTTGTAGAAACCACGCTTTGTCAGCTACAACATATAACATGTAGACAATTTTAATTCTGTTTCCCTGCTCAAACTGTGACGAACGCTTTGGTCAAACTTGTGTCAAAAGTATCATTAAAATATAATGTATCATTTCTGTCCAGTATCAAACGATATGCTGGTCAGGAACCAAAGAAATCTGGATGTATGTTGATGAGTGTACAGTAATAACGTGAATATGAACTAATAATAAACCGTATAATATATTGATAACCTGTCTGCTAAAATGCACCCTGAGCTTCAGAGATAACTTGACACTAACCTCTTCACTATAGCCTATCTTCATCGTGTCAAGTTACACGATGAAGATAGGCTATAGTGAAGAGGTTAGTGTCAAGTTATCTCTGAAGCTCAGGGTGCTAAAATGTGGAGATACACTGCATTTCTGACTCAGACAAATAGGTTCATTCATCACCTCTATACCCCCTAAACCGGTTCCGCAGGCGACATCCAGAATAAGAGCGTCTTTGTTGTCCTTTAAGCATTTTTCCATTTCGGATGCGCTGACACTTGGTTGAGTGTAGTTTAGAGTAATCATATCCTAGAAAAATTTAAACATATTCCCAAGTATAATAACAGTATCAAACCAAAGCATATTCATACCAAATAGTTTAATTGATAAATATATTTTTCATGTTGTACCCTAAACTCAGGGTAACACTTTTTTCTGACAAACGAGGTTACTGTTTTTCAGTGGATTATCTGAGGTTGGATTCTACTGAAAATCATTTATCTAAAAAAAAACAAGAGATAAAATGGGATGTTGAAAAAAACATTTAACCAGTGAGGAAGGGCAAAAGTTTGTTAATACACTACGACAATAGCTAACCTTCAACGTCCATGGGTAAGCAAAGTATTACTAAAACCAAATCACGCAACATTTCACTTTTACCTTATCATATTCTTCTGCCCATTTTGTGTAAACCTTGTCCACTCCCTCGCTGTCGGTACCTTGTTTCTCAAGCTCATCCAAGATTGGTAGAGACTGCTCCACTTGCTTGGCCATATTTTTCTCCGTGTGTTTACGTTATAAAATCTGCGTAAGCATTATGCATAGTACAAATATAGGTCACAATCTGTGCATTCAACTCACGTACACAGCTGTCCGCTCCTTTGTGTGTATAACCTTGTATACTACAGAGATTGTTCAAAAAACATTTAACACTCAGCCTTGAAAACTGTATGCCACAAAACACACCTGTTTTATTATTATTGCAATGTACAGCTTCAACCCACTCGAGTGCAATATTATCAACAAATAATAATAATAATAATAATAATAATAATTATTATTATTATTATTATTATTATTATTATTATCACTCCTACCCCATCAAAACAACAAACGTCTGCAAAACTGAAAAACATTGGACATTCTTAGGCTTAGGTGGTTTATCTAAGAAAACATATATTGGGTCGCGTGACCACGGGGTAAAATGTGTTGTGGCATCGGATGGTATTGTGGTAGGTGAGATTGAGCTACTCTGTAAAATCAAATAAATGTGTTTTCAAACCATATATTAAAGAGATCCAAGCCAGGATTTTGAACACATTCAAAGTGTAAAAATTGTTCTTGTTGAACTTACCTGAGGACAGTTAAAACATGTACTGTCAGATGAATGGCTTTAATCGATAACCATACACCCCATTTCCATAGATTTTTAGATCGATCTATCCCTGTGGGGAGTCTCACTAGATTACTGTCAGCTTGGCCGGCTTAAGCGTCTGTCCCGCCTACTAAAAGCTGTAAGGGGGTAATTAACTATGGTGCCCGCTCGGCTGACTGCAATTTAGCGTGAACCCCCAGGGAGTGAGGTCGATCTAAATCTTAATCTTTAGATCGATCTAAATCTCTGGGAAAGCATCCATAGTCACCGTTCTCTGTTCTTCGGTTGTCAGCCATCTTGACAGCTTGAAAATAACGCAGATCACGGCACGATAGTCTCGCGATATCCGACAGTCGAGTGAATGGAATGAAAGAGGTGACTGAATAACAAGCGCTTGATCTTTTGCTTTATCTAAAATTGTTACAGAGTTAGGATGATTGACAGAAAAAGAAGGTTAAGTTGGGGGAAAGTCGTTTGCCCCTAGAAAATTGGTAAGATATGATTTTTTGGGCGGAAGGCTTAAAAGGCTTTAATTTTTCAGAGTGATTTCGAAATATTTTCATTCTTTCTTCCACCTTTAAGCTACGCCCTCAGAACAAAGCGAGTATAATCGATTGTTATATCGTAAGAATGTAGGAGAATTTATTAGCACCTCCATCCTGGAAATCTCAAACCTTTTAAGTAAAACAATAAATATGGAAGGAGAACTTTATATTTATTGATTTTTTTACCAAATTTGTAATCTTAACATCTACATGTACCTCATGACCACTATTAAACAGTCAAATAATTTCGGTCGTTATTCATCGGCAAACCAAAGAAAAGAGGAACTTTACTGTTTTAAGTAAACAAAGTCGCCACCCCAATGTCCGTTCACTCTGCTCAAATTGCATTTGCCTAACGTTTTCAATAATGCAGAATCAAGCAGCTCACGCTGAACATAAAGCATTCGATTTAATCGAGTTACACAAATATTTGCGCAAGACGTGGCCAATCCGTTGTATCGTTTTAGCAACATTGTAAAGTATCTGGTGTGAGTGGGTGCCCTTGCCGTGTCAAATATCTCGTAATGACCAAAGATACTCTCTGCCTGTCGGCCACCTAGCGTGTTGGTTTTGAAGTACAGTAGACTCCGCATAATTGGGACATTTTGGGGACCTGGGAATTGTTTGAATTACTTACTGAAAGAAACCAGTTAGGCATTGTTTATATCAATTTCTTCAAGGTAATTATTAGTATTTCAGAAAAAAAATTATACCACGAATTATTCAAGATAAACAGTCATTCGAGTTCTAAGGTGACGAGGGTCTACTGTAGGTAGCGTAGTAGACAACATCATAATTTAGATGTATATAAATTCATTCCATATATAAATATATTTGTTCACAGAAAGCTAGTTGAATGCATCAGTCTAGAGAAACAGAAAATTCTACAATAGGAAACTCCCCGAGCCTTGTGGAAATTGTCAATTGTCTGCGGTGTTATCCACTAAGAATGAAAAAAAAAATCATATTACTCTATCAGTTTATTAAGTGTTCCGCATAGTAAGAAGAAAAAGGGGGTTTGATCACACTCCAAGTGACGGTGTTTAGCATTTCTGACGTAAAAGTTTCTGAAAAAAATCTTACTAAAACTAAAATAAATGTTAGCGAAAATAAAATTTGATATTTTAAGTCAAAGTCTGTATCAGTGTAAAAAAAAAAAGAAAAAGAAAATAGCATTATTATTCTTACTTCTTTTGCAACTTTTTAATCACTCAAAAAATTCTACATGCATGAATATTGGAGGACAAGAAAATTCAATACAAGTGAACAATTGAGTCATAATTATTTCCCGGTAGATTGTCTCCGACCATGCGCTCCGTGTCGTTACAAAAAAGTAAAGTATGTAGTTTTACATTAATGCTGAAGGTAGCAAAATGCATTTTCCCTCCGGCACCCTCGGATTAAAAAGCAATAATATGTAAATGTTGAGCAAATCTGTTGAAAGTCAGCAGCGCATGACGGAAATCATCACCGTGTGATTTAAACATGTGTATTTAAGCAAACATTAGCAGAATAGGATGTGCATGGACTGATTTGGAAAACTAAATCGCCAGAACTCACATTTTGGTTTTGCTAAAATGTCCCTTTAGCTGGGAGTTTAACATAGGTAAACACTGCGGTACTTGGTACGCTCACTGCAAATTATTTCCCTTAAGCCTTTTACCTAAATAATCAAAATAATAATTTTATAACAAAAAGACACCTGTATTGTTTAACAACAACATAATTAATTGTATTGACTTATCATGTAAAAACGAAACAGTCTAGCAGATACAGCGACTTATACATTTATTAGTCTATATGTACATACCACACAAAAAAAGTGTTCCATGTCTTGGTTCAAATAAATGCCCGCTATAACATTGGATACATATATTCATTGTCATCATCTAGGAACAGAGAAATTAAATTAAAAGCTTACTTAAAGAAATTAGAGCTTAATTAAAAAATTCAGATCGTAAAAAAAAATGATGAAACCCTCCAATAAAAGAGCAGTGTGGACAAAAATGTACCGGCCACATATTAACAGTGGTTAACTGGTGGTCACGGTGATCCATGCACGTGCAGCTTGACCTGCTGTGACCTTTATCAGCTAGTCTTGCGTGACAAATGTCCACAAATATCCCTGTAATCAAACTTTGTCCATGAAGAAATGATACTCTCCGTGCAATAGAGAAACGCGTTCGAGATTAAAGAATGGAAGACTGTTATAAATTCGAAGGATCCAATGTTCACTTCATGAAGACCGGATTTCACCCATTCGAGCCTCAGAGGTACATCTTCTTAAGGAAGCCACCCGTTGAGCAGCGCCGCATTCCAGCGTTAGATCCAGCGCCTAGACACCGCGCGGTAACAGCGTAGAAACCACTGGGTGATTCACCATCTTTCTTCCTTACCACTAGTACCGCTATTACCCGGCTATCGCGACATCAATGGACGACTGCAGCGTGTTCGAGACAAGCGCCGGGCAACCGTCTGTCGTCTCCCCTGTGACTGTCACCAACGCCACACAGAGCGTTGACACGGGCGTAGGTGAGCATTTGCTATTTAAATCTTGAACTAGGCAAGGAGAATGACGCAAATGTTTTGAATATAATTATAAATATTATTATGTGACGCTCTGTTATAATGCACTCTACCCCGAGGTGTTGATTTGGTCCAGTTTGTGCTGCAGTTCATTAAGTTTTGTGAAAATGCTGCGGTGAAAGTCAATCTTAACTGGGGGAGTTTGCAAACGCAATCACTAGAATACGCCGTGGGGTCGACTAAGGTGGTTGAATTTCTGTTCACAGGTACAAAGTTATTAGTCAATAATCAACGTTTAAGTCAGCATTCCGTCAGCATTCAGAGATTTTATAAAAAAATGAATGATCTTCTTATAAAGCATCGTTTGAAATTCTTGTCCGTTGCAGTTTTATTGTTTGTACACATACGTGACAGAATCTCGAGCAGGAGAAATTTTTCAAAGGAATTCTAACAAAATGTTTTCATGCAGCGTTCACCCTTTTAAGGAGAATTTTATTCATCGAAAATAAAAAACGGTTTAACTTTGTGCAATTATTCCCAATACCACTTTACCGAAATGTAATAAAAATTTTCAAAATTAGAGATTTATCTAAATAGTTATTATTTTTAATAATAATTCTAAATAAATTATGATTATCACTTGCATGTATTCATAAAATATAAAGTGGCATGACTTCATAGTTTTGTTTTTCACGTCAACTCAAAAGTTAGAATTTCCAGAATAATTCTTATCATATATTTGTGATTAAATAGTAAACGAATTGACTCATGTAAATGTTTTAAGCTGGTCCAGCTACAGCATAACAAGGCTCGAGTTTAAGCGGGTCAACAAAAATCAAACAGTTTATGAATAATGTATTAACATGGGCATAATCGGGTTAAGACTTTTTCGAAAGATATATATATATATAAGAAATATTTTTTATGTATGGAGGCTGAACAAATTCCATACTGACTAATAAAATTTTCAATAAAATAAATAAATGAAAATGAATTAGTGACTGCATACAACTAAATTTGCCTGGTGACATCGACTATTTTCTTAACGGTCACCCACTATCAATTTCAGAACGTTCCGTTCTTCACTAGGTCACGGTTGAGAGAAATATATGATGCGTGTGTTTGCGTTTGTTATCTAAATACTGTAATTATAACAAAAAAAAAAAAAGAAAAAAAAAAAAAAAGAAGAAGAAAAATGAAACACGTCCGTGTGGACATTTTTCACAGACAATTTCATAATTTATTTAAAAGTAATTATGTCAGTGACAGTTATTTTTTACTGTGAAAATGAAAAATGTCAATATTCATATAAAATTCTATGAACGCTTGATACTTTGACAGTTTTGTTCTGATTTGCAGTTGTGTACTGTAAATACTATGTGCAGTTACATATGCACCCAAATGTAGAAAATTTTCCATTATTGATTCTCTGGAAAAACAGTATCTGTGATTTTACTCTAAATTGAAGGTATCACGCGCAAAAAAGGAAATTATGCCTTGTTTTGGAATAAGAAAAAAATCACCAAAAAAGGAGAGAAGAAAGAACGATAAGAGAAAAAGAGAAGAAAAATTAAAAACTCAAACGTGAACGCAAAATAATATTCGATAACATACATATTAAAAAAACAGTTTGTTATCAATTTCTCTTCATATCTCATTTTCATAAGACGTGCATTTTCAAGGATATTGCTATTCAGGCTTTGACATTTTGACCGTAATTTTCAAATGAAAAATATAAATGTAATATTTTCGCCCCTTTGTTTATTTTATTAATGATTTAGACAAATATCCGTAGTGTATTTTTTGGTTTGAAACTCGATAAAAATTTCGAGATAATCGTTGAAAGCAATTAAACTTTTTGTAACTCCAAGAAAATTAATTAAAATATGTCTCTTAGTTCACACATAGATTGTCTTGAACTTCACTTGTTTTCAAAATAACACTGGTTGGGACTCCTCATTCAATTAGCATTGGGCACAGGTGAGCTTAATAAAATTATACAAGAGTAGTGTAACGTTTAAATGTATTAAAAAACCATCTCCTTTATTTATGAATTGTCCTCATTTAAACAAAACAGTGTATGTTTCTCATGAGTAATCAAGGGGTCCATTAAATACCTATCATCACACAGGATTGACTATGTTAATCTTAACACCGTGCTCTATGAAATAGTTTCGCACTCATATAATTATCATTATATACTTTAGATTGACCGCATGGTAACTTGTTGTGTTTCATTATATATAGGCTTATTATTATTCGTGTAAGATCAATCCTGTTACGTCCTTTTTTTTCCTAAAAGTGACTCCAATATCTGCACTAAAACACCAAGATAACCCGAGGTCAACAATGATTTTGTGTCCTCTTTCTAATTAAAAATCGGTCCTCGGGCCCTTCCTTTCATCGTGTTTTCCTTGTAAACCACCTCTTCTGAATATTGAACTACTTATTAGCATTTTGTTATGAAATTATGAGCGGGCGTGACGGCCAGAATAGACAGGTGGTTTGTGAACTACAATAGTGAAAAGAGGATTTATTTGTTCATACATAAAAATAGGATAAAGATTTATAATCGCGTTGTGCGGGCTAGGTGTATAGAGTCTTTATGTTATTATATTATATTGTGCTCGTCAGTGCTAGGGAGGAATATGAGAATAATTGCTTCAATGAATTTTAAAAATTGACAATTTTACTTTTAAGGTAAAATACTTTTCAGTTAAATAATCTGAAAATATAAATATTCATACCAAAAAAATCAGCCAGCAGCAAATTATGTTAACAAACCCCATAATATTTGAATACAAAACTCTAACATCTAGAAAAGATTACATTTGTAATTCCGTTTCAAAAGCAGGTTTTTCTTGAAACGGATTTAAAACGCAGGACAGACCTGATAGAAATTGAGGTTTATCGTAATAATAATAATAATAATAATAATAATAATAATAATAATAGTAAATCCTGCAAGAGGTTCCCCTATCATCAACTCAAGATCGTCTCTAGGTATCAGGCAATTTAACCTAGGTGGAGCTAAGTTAAACTACGTTTTGAACAGCAGGTGAAAATATATTTTCTTCAGATGCACGTTTTTAAAATTCCTTTTGACCTCATATAACATACCTTTACTTTTGCGTGCCTGACACGAAAGCCACTCCAATAACTATGGATTGATACGACCTAGAGAAAATATTAAGGTCCAATCTTGACTCTGTGTTAAAAAAGCATTGAGGTGGCACTGTTATTTCAAATTATGTCCCAAAATGTCGTGCCCGCTGGCCCTAGAACAGCAATGGTGTGCGTCAAAATCATGTTGACTTTACTGCTGGATTAAATAGAGCGTGCTCTGTCTCGCGCTCGCCATGCCCGCTGGGTTTAAACAATGAAAAACACCTCTAATTGAATCTGATACCAACTTGAAAGGCTCGCGTGTTGAGGGTTAAATTCATGCAATATTAGACAGGTAAAACAGAGAAATAGCCCAGAAGCCTGTACGTCTTTGAAGTCGACCTCGAACTGTGTAAAATGAAAATAACATTCACCAAATTAAAGAAAAGTCCCTTTCCTTTCGTCTCGCTAGACATTTGTTTGGAATAATTGTTCCATGTTATATTGCAAGGTTATTCACAATGATAATTTCATGAAGCGTTTATATACAGCGTGTTACAGTAGGACGGTTTACAATCTCACTGGTACATTTTGCGTTCCCTAAATTTACAAGGACATCTGCAGTGGTAGAATTATGTTATCATTTAGCTGCATATATTTTATATGTTCAATTTGCTCACGGGCATTTAGTGGCGCCAAAATACCCCTCAATTAGCCAATTAGTGCCTTCCTTATATTACTGATCCTGAACCTCATTTAAACAGCACAAAAAAGACAAAACATTAACATAGCATGTCATTAACAGATTGATCGCGTATTTGTATATTTTTCCTGTATGTTCCCAATAAACTTTTGAAACCCTGAAAGTATCGCGTGGAAGGACCACAAGAGGAGTACTCAACATTGGAAAATAAGGAAAAAAGCTGAATAACCGTTTTTTTTAAATGATATTCGAAACATGTTGATACCTATTTCGTTCTTGATGCGTAACTCTATATTTTAAAATAAGAAAAGTATATATTAATATGAACATATGGATCAAAATAAACAAATCAAAGTAAATATACAGAGAAACTAGAGTCGAAACTAAACTATATTCTGAACTCGGATCTTGTAGACAAGTATTATTTAGTTAAATGAGAATACCCATTACGTTTCACAAAAATACAAAATAATTAATTAAACAAAAGAAACTAATTATGTTTAAGTTCGACTGCTGTTGTATTCTAATAAACTACTACATACAAACAAATCTAAATGTTTCACCTAAAAATTAAGATCAAGGTGCGACATTAGTTCTTTCTTAAACGGAAGCAGGGATTTGTTCCACAATGCAACCCGAAATTTGATTTAAACTTTTAGACCAAAAAAGGTGTTCCTTATATAAATATACACTATCCTACTTAAATAAGGTATTAAGCTTGAAAGATTATTCTGCCTGCTCATAACGCAGGCGCAATATTTCAATTGAGTGGACCACGCATGCGCCACTGCTTTATCTTGGGCCAAAATAGACTAACATTTGGTCAAAAAGTTCAGGGCAATTTTTTCAAACAGACCCCGAGGTATCCTACATTCGCATGGCCATACAGTCCGCTGAGAAAGAGTTATGTCTGCCTTGAGTAGGACATTTGAGGTCTGCTCTATTCCTAATTCATTGGGCTCATGCACGACCTTAACAACATTACGGTTTTACAGTCAGGTAGTAATGGCCCGGGATGTTGAAGCAGGTGTTCGTGCTCGTTAAGTCAATGGAGGCATTATGTAGAGGTGCTCGTTTAAAGAACTTTGTCACAGCTGAGAATGTATTTAAGTCTGACGGGAATGCCTGAGCGCAAATCACCATACATGTCTAAGCCTACCTGGACTATTGCGTGAATTGGCGTACATTTATGAAAAGTTGCATGTTATGGAAACGCAAATGCTTCTATTAGCTAAATGTTTAAATATTTAAGATTCAAAATACCTTCAAAACAATATGTAACATGTTTACATAAGTGACTAAAATTTTAATATTGATTATATTTGTGGACAAAGCTTGTTTCTTTAAAGCCGTAAAATCTGTTCATAGTAAATGACAGGTGTGTCTTTATCATGTAAAACATTAGTAATTCAATTGCTTGAATTATGAGGAATCCGATTTGTTGTATCGATAACATACCAATGATACATATTTTGATAGTTTTACATTTATACAAAATAGTATTTCTAGAAGCGGTTCGCCTCCGTTTCATTGAATAAACTTTGTTTTAACAAAAATTTAAAAAAAATGATACCTTATGTCTCTCTTTATCATACAAAAAAGTGGATGTGTAATGCCTTATCTCTTTTTATAAACAGGTCAGACATCAATATCGTTCATAAGAATTATACAAGTTAAAAGTTAAATTAAATATTGTTGTTAGAGATGCATTTTTGAAGAATATTAACGAAAATTAAACTGTTCCGTCGCACAAATATTTTCGCATCTGATGCTAAAGATGTGATTAACTGTTTTCCTTTCGGATCTCTTAAAGTTTATGTTATTTCAAAACAGGTCCCAATTCTTTATCCCTAAACTTATAGATTCACTGATTACAAACGCTGGCCTCGTCTTTAACTGATTTATGTCACCGCATTAACCACCCAGGGCATCAGGGACAATCATTTCCCCTTTAATGTGCACAAAATTTGTAAAAGGATTATTCATGAATTAAAAGCTGCGTTTCTGGCATGTTAACACGGTGGAATTTTAATATGAAGAGCAGTTCAGTGGCATTAAAAACACCGCTCGTTTTTTCCCCAGACGTCATGCTTGGCTGGTAATGGTGCAGTTATTGACCTATTTTTATTTGAATTAATAACAATAATATTTTTTAAAATTTCAGACCGATGGCCAGACTTATCCCCCGACATTGGAAAACATATAACAGATATTGGGAATAGCACTTGTGGGAAAGGCGCTGGATTTATCTCTAGTAAGAATACACCGTAAACACATTGTTAACATTAAGGCAATTATGATTAAAATAAATAAAACGGCATTTAATTTTAGAAGTATTTTTTTTTTTTTTACATTTGTGTATTTGATTTGACAGTTTTAATTCAATAAGCCACAAGGGGTAACATAATGTTGTTTGTGTAACAGTTCTTTTCATAACTTACCTTTACCTTCATATCTAGCAAAACATTATTAACAAAAGCGAGGAATGTATATAAATATATATTAATATCAAATTGAATAAAGGTGAAAAGGGTCCAAAACAAGCACCGATACGACCGCATTCAACCCCTCTTACTCTGAAATGGTAAGCCACTTTTGTTTATGCGTCTACCTTTATTCTTGTTATACAAGGAGATCATTAAAGCTGGGGGCTCAGTCATGAATTTCAATATAACGAACTACTAGTATATCTTAGCTATTGTGGTTAAGTTCGTCAGTTTAAACAGTTATGTCTTGATTATAAATTCGGCCCAAAATACACATTTATGAACATAAGTATATATATATATATATATATCTTTCCCGGGCACTGTCTACATGTACATGAAAGTCAGCTAGTCCAGGCCTACCCAACTACCAGACTCGGCACCTAAGGATCCTGAATTAACCGGTATATCGGACCACACTACCCGTTTTCAAGGTGTCTGTCAGATCGCATTTCGGAGTATCATACCCCAGAACAAATTCTGTAGCACGATTGCGGGCTCATCCACGCTCGGCTGAACAACCTTAAACTGTACTCTTACTTTAGAGTACTCTATTTTATTGTCTCTATGGGGATATATGGGGACTTTACGACATTCGGTTTGAATGTTTTAACCACTTTTGATAGGGCTTTTTTTGCATTGTATTAGATTAATGTGGCAGTCTAAGGTTCATCTAGGTGGCTTTCAAATTTATGCACCCGGTTTTAAAATCATATAGCGATTTTACGACAATCGTTTACTGTCCAATCAAGGTGACAGCCGAGCATGCCAGGGCTCATCCTGTCGGTGTTCTGGCTGATACTCCGAAATGCGATCTGACACACACCTTGAAAACGGGTAGTGTGGTCCGATATACCGGTTAATTCAGGATCCTTAGGTGCCGAGTCTGGTAGTTGGGTAGGCCTGTAGTCGTTCCTCAATCAAAAGAACAGCTATCAGAACCCTATGACATATACAAGGAAAAAACCTGACCCAACAACTGATTATTATGAAACCGGTGTTCGAATCGATCATCACGTTTACTGTTTCAGGCTGGACGAAAACTACGAGGTAGCAATCGGGGTCTGTATTCCCAGAAATCAGCTGTACTTACATTACCTGGACTTCTGCGACAAGAACAGGTCTCAGCCAGTTAATGCCGCAAGTTTTGGAAAGGTACAGGCGTGCTCCTTTCAATTCTTCCTCAGACATAATCCCAGGAGCATCTATGAACAGCACCATGTTCATGTTCATTCTAAATTTCCTACAGTACAAAAATGATAATTATCTAACACAAGCCGAAATATTTTCGTACCGTCAGCTTACGGCCAACCTGGGCGATGGCCTTCATCAGACTGATGTGAGTAGTTGTCCACACAGACTGACCGCTAGGTGGTATAGCGACCAGGACCCTCTTATAAATTTCAGGTAGATCGATCCCCGTCCCTATTCATGGGTGGCTGGTGATGACTGATGTTGATAGCCTCTCGTATCTTACGCGGGATGTCGGATGACCCAGATTCAAGGATCTTGGTTAAATTCCAGTCGATACTGGTCGATCTACCTGACATTTATAAGAGGGTCCTGGCTGCTATACCATCTAGCGGTCAGTTTGTATGGACATCTACTCACATCAGTCTGATGAAGGCCTTCGTCCAGGTTGGCCGTAAGCTAACGGTACGGAAATATTTCGGCTTGTGTTAGATAATTATCATTTATGTTCCAACTACCAAGCTAATGAACATTTTTGCTCAGTACAAAAATGATTTTCTAAAAATAATTATGTCATCAATGTATCAAAAAAACATATCAATGGATTTAGTTTTTTTCTCTTCTAGTAAAAGCTCGATTATTATTATTTTAATTTTTTTAAAAACTTTTTAGTTTTTTTTTTTTTAATTTTATATTATTTTTTAGAGCGCCAGTTGAACAGCGTTCTGCTGGTATATTTTCAGATAATCCGACAACAGTTTCCATCAATAACTACCAGACGTCTCGGTACACGTGGACAATCCAAGTGAGGATGAACAATGTAGAAAGGATATAAAATAATTCTTAACACAGATAGTTACATGTTCATTTAATATATATTTTATTAAATACACATCTGGATTTTATGAGGTCAAAATCTATAGCGACGACGACGTTGTCTTCTCCTCCTCTTGTGAACTGGTGTCAATGCCGCAGCGCTGCCGGCTTTTTTTTTTCTTTTTTAATCTAGAAGAAGAAATGCGTAAATTGGAATGTGCATTAATTAAGTTGGCCACCTTATATAACTTGTATACGACAAATGCTAATCAATGCAAGCAGAACATATTTAATGAAATCGAATATTGATTTCAAAAACAAGTTCTTAAGTCTGCTGCTAAGGAAACTGCGGAATATGTGCAATGTACTTTTTAACAAATAGGAGCAGATGCCTATCATAAAATTCTAAAGATATCACGGATGTTAAGCCTCAATATTCTGCCTCTCTTTTCTTTCCATCTTCTGTTACAGATACCATTACTATGGGGTTGGGGTCAAAGAGTCATCCCCGTATTATGACATCATATACTCCAAAAACGGGATGGACAGGTAACATGTTATTCATTCTGCTTTGTCATGTTTTCCCCTAGAAACCAAATATGTTTTGTTTTAATGGTTGTTGAAATTGTTTGCCCTTTTAATTTGGTTTTTTGAAGTTTAAAAAAAATTAATAGTTTTGTCTTACCAATTGTTTTTAGGAATGCCTAACATGTCCTCTTTATTATTTAAGTGCAAATACGTTTATAGGTTCATTAGCAAATCAAATGATTTCGAAAGTTTTCTTAGAATAGTTCAGCTATTTAATTGTTATCAATTATCTATTTGCAGCAAAGATGACTCTAAGACGGACACCGCGAAGCCGGTAACGTATTTTTTTTTCAATCGGCGCTTTGTATATTTACTTAATTTAAAACCACCGTTATTTCAAGCACGAATCTTTGACAAATGGACATCCATAGAAATTTTGCATACAACTCAGATAAGAATTTATATAAATATTATACGAGTCTTATTTCAAGATACACTGTACCTGTATCTATGCAAATGATATGTAAATGATACAAATTACAGTAAATTAAAAATTATATTATCACAGAAATGATATGTTTATATTTTTTATATTTAAAGCATATAGTTTATTCACCTCGCTCTAAACTGGGGACACTACTGCCGGAATTTCCAGAGGTGAAAGATATCAAACTTCCACCGGATATACCGCAAGAAAAGGTGAGGGAGTCGAAAGCGCATCTGGCTATTATCTTGTGACAATATTAGTCATACATATTCTGAATTGAATGAATGTACCCATCCAAATTCGCTCTTTGACTATCAGTTTTGTCAAAAGTTGTATAAGTAGGTATAAGTAGGTTACTTATATGTTAATAAATCATAACGTTAAATTAAGAGCTAAGCGATTTATTTGCCATGTGTTCTTTATGAAAAAATACAAGTCGGTTCACAAAACGTTACGATACCTAGAATATTCCTGTGTTACAGTATAAAAACAATAATAGTGATTAATAAATGGTTGAATGACCCATATTGGAAATTAAAGTACATGTCTACAAGAAAAGCTCAGATGCTTTGCTTCAATGGGGGTAAAAAAAACCGGCACAAATAAGTCAAATTTATGCAAATACTACACAACATGTTTGCGACACCAGCGTAACTCATATGCTCACAATGTTATGGAATGACCCAAATGCAGCATTCGCCATTTTAACAGGTGATAACATTTGTCATGATGTACCGCACCCACTGTCAACGGATTCTGGACACAGTTATTCGCGCCAACTTCGACGAGGTTCAGAACTTCCTGCTCTACTTCTGGCAGGGCATGCCTTCCCATATTATCCCCATATTGGGCAGCCAGACGCTGGTCAGCCTAGTGGGAGTCTGTGACGCCATACTGTACAAGGCCATAGCCAGTGTTCTTATCCCGACCATTCTGCAGTCGTTGCCAGACAGGTACAACTCATTCTGTTTAAGTTTTCTGGACCATTTTGCTTTTACTCATTAGCGGTTTGAACAGAGGTCACTCATTTAAATGTTGGTAATTTTTATGTCTTTGTTAAGTGTTATGATAGTAAATTACTGCTGTGAGATGGGGCTAGTGTAATATTTAGGACAATATTATTATACATGCTCTTAAATACATATATACATGCATGTATTATTTTCTAGTCTTACTCAAGATATTAGAAAGTTTGCAAAGCAGCTGATAGCATGGACACATAGTGCATTGGAAACATTGCCAGAAAACCTTTGCTCTATGAAACTGAACAGTAAGCTGCACTTAACATTATAGCTTGTAATAATGAAAATGTACATACATTTATTGGATATTTATGCCTTTTAGTAACAACCATGGCAGAAATAGATATAAGAGACATTACACTTTTAGACAGCAAGAAGAAAAAATATTAAAGCACATTTCATAGAAATATGACAGATCATGGAAGTACATGTAATCGCTGTCCTTGAAAAGAAAATATTTTTTATTTTCTGTTATTTCTTCCAAATTCCAGATACATCCTTAAATTTAAACCGCATATACTCCTTTGCTCTCATTTTAGTCGCCAATCGTTTTGCTCACGTGTTACGGAGACAGACGGCGCTAAACCATTTGTGCCAAGCAGCACGTGGTGTCGCTGAATGTGGTGACGTCACCGACCAGATGCTCGATGATTGGAGGACCATAGATATCCAGAGCGTGATAAAACAGACTCTTTACACGTTAGATAAATACAGGAGTGCCACAGCGGAGATGATGTTGCAATGTAAGTTGATAACATGTTCTTTCTTTATATATAAATATCTCGTTTTTAAAAAGTTCATAATGTAATATACCATGTACCTGTAGTTTGCTTTGTAGATAGATGTTTGGAAGTGCACATTAATCAATAATATCGAAATTGAGCATGATTACCTAAATGTAGTATATATTAGTATTATTGATACCAATCTTCAATATTATCCCTATTTTTTTAAAGCTCATATCATGCTCGATCTGAGCGTTCAAGGTGATGATTTATAGGTGAGGTAGGGCGGTCAGTCAAAAGTTGACATATCAAATTATTATTTTTTTTATATATCTAAATTGCATTATTGTAAAAGAAAGAAACTTGTAAGGGTCTACGAGATGTTGGAATGCACTCCAATGCGTAACACATATAATTTCTGTCAGTTTTCATCTAGTTACCCAGGAATTTGAAGATCTAATGGAGAACCAAGGTACACTAGAGTCCTACGCAGAATGGTTGGATAGCCTCATCAATACATGTGTGATAACGGTGAGCCATATAAAATAAACAATTTGTATTCATTAAAATGTTTTAACATGAAAAATCCGTTGCACATAATTCTATAAATCTTTTATCAATTGTGTTACTCGCATAACCAAAGCGTGGGGATATGTTTGAAATCATCATCATCTCTTCCATAAAACATACAGTCATAGCATAGGTAGGTTGCGGCAATTCTAGTTAGAGGTTACTACCTCCTTCTGCTTAGTATAATATGGTGAATATGCAGAATAACTGAGTAGGTAATATTTAGTTCTGTAACAATATATTTGACATTTCTACTGATAAAAGAAACTCTAATATTAAGAATTTCATTACAGCCCAGTTTCAAGGGTTCTAACAGCGTAAAGAAATGTGCCAGACAGTTCTTATTATTGTGGTCGTGTTTCGGCACTCGAGTTATAAGAGACATGACCCTGCACAGTGCGCCCAGTTTCGGTAAGTATATAGATATATTATGGCACTTTCCACAATATTAAAACCATTTTTGGACTACCTGTTGAGATAATGACACAATTATACCCCGCACGAGGCATTCCACCAGTCACAGTGGTTCCATCCTCTCGTCATCTTTATGAACATTGCTAAGTTGAGATCTGTATTGTAATGTTGTATATCTGATATTAGCATTGGTAGGAAATACGTACATTTCTCTTAAATGGATAAACGATGATTATCTTCATAAACCTCAATATATCCTAGCACGTACAAAAGTTGCAAAAATACCCATAACCCCTGGGCACCCTACATAAGTTACTCTTATTTCAATCACAAATCTTATTACATGTACGGTCACAATGACTTAAACTGCACGATGTTTATATGCCTGTATTATTTCATCCGTATGTATGTGTATGACGCACGTACGTTATTGGTTGGCTTAATGACTATTCATTACTTGTATATATGACTACTATAACCTTACAGAATAACTATTCTAAAGAACCACAAAGGTCCCATCAAGGTACCTTATGTGTTTTATTAATACTAAACCGCCTATCGATATTTAGTTAATTATTCCAACAAACATACGTCTTGATAGCATAATATTTTTTTCTTGATAGAAGTATAAAGACGTACAGTGTACGAGATTAAACTGTTTTGGTTTTATATTTTACAATCAGGGTCCTTCCATCTACTTCACCTTATGTTTGACGACTATGTGATGTTCAAGTTGGAAATGCTACACAGAGATGAGGAGACAAGGAAACTTGCACAGTCCATCAAGGGCGAGACAGTCACGGGTATGGTTATAAGCATACATGTAATTGACAAATTGTAATAGTTGAGATTCGTAGCTACTGTAAGTATGGGGTTCATGGCGTTACGCATATGGTACCATTGTTACTTTGGCATCATTCCACAGCTGGAATATGTGCTTGCATTGTTAAACCTACGAAAATTAGGATCACAAGTTTAAACTTTCACTTTCACTTTCTACACAAAACGGAAGCTATACTTCACAGAGATTCAATAATGTGTAGAAAGGGAAAAGTTTAAACGTATGATCATTATCAATAGACTTCGCAGATTAATTTCCATCAGTCTACGGAAACGATGAACGTACATTTAGCCATAGTCATGCAACTGTTATTTTGACATAATTTCAGTTAAAGGGGGGCAGTTGCATTACTTTTCAACAACGTACGCGTTGGTGTGAATCGACGAAGAGAATGCCAGTACTTATCTCACATAAATAAATACATACATACCCTTATTTAATTTCAGATAAAGAAGATGACTGTGTCTTCCCAGATGCTTCCCTGCTTAGACAATCTACAGTGGCAGAGTCTGCTGTAACAGGACAGGACAAAGACTGCCATGGAAGTGTCACAGACGTGAACAGAAACAGTGTCATAACAAGTGCTGTCCAAAAGGCATCCATCCAGGAAGATCTAATTCTAGGTCAAGGTCAAAGTCAAAGGGGAAGCCAGGTTCATTGTCAAGGTCAGAGTCAGCGTGGCGTCCAACTGCATGAGCAACAGCTATCTACTACAGACAATAGAAATTATTATTACAGAAAAGGCCATAGCATTAGGCCAGCTCATCAAAACAGACATTTTTCGGATTCTGCGATTACTCAGGGAAAACAGAGATCCAGCAACCTAAGCGGTTTTGCCGAAACACCAACTGCGGCAACAGGAAGGAAAAATATCCAAGCGGCTGCTACAAACAGTGATAACCAGCGTCAAAACGAATCTGCATTACAGACCTCCGTTGTTGACTATAGTGGTGCTTCATCTGGTCAAGGAAGTTCAACTACCGGTATTTATGACAATAACAGTACTAGTGACAGCTCTTCGAACCCTCAGTTACGGCGCCAGTTTAAGCGGCCCCACATGTTTGCAGCGTCTTTTCCCACCAAACGCCGCGCCACAAGGTGAGATTTTATTAGACATTTTTTTTTATAGAACTGCGTCAGATCATTATCCAGTAGTCAAAGTGCACACTCTGAAATTTTATGCAGCAAATTTCTTTGAAAAAGAAGTGCAAAAAAGTATTCTATAACACTTATTTTACATTTTGTTTCTATTTTATAGTTTGAATCAATCCATCTACAACTACGGCGACTACCCTAGTGTAGGGGGGCAGTCATCGGGCTCTCAAAGTTTTCAAAGACCCCACATGTCGTCCTCGTTAAACCAAGGGCTTGTAGGCGCGGTATGCCAGCAGGAGATGTACGATATGTTTGGAGAAAACCAAGTAAGTCAGTATTGTGCATCGTCTGCATCTAACAACATCACAGCTAGAATAAGAATGAAATTCAATAGCTTTTGTTTTAAATAGATATATTATATAAGTGATGCTTATAAACATTTCACATCAATTATATCCACCTAGCAAGTCAATTTTCTAGCAAGTTTCACGAGTTAATAAAATAAAAAAAAATCCATGGATATTCAGAGAAAGAGCATGGTACAATTATGTAATACATATACAGTAGCTGCCTGGTCTACAGGTGAAATTTTTCCCGGAGTGGTTAATTATCATTCACATCACAAACAGAACAAAATGTAAATACTGTATCAATTTCAATTAAACCATCTTTATTAGCTACAATGCGAGAGGCAGGGCGGCTCGGGACCATCTTTATCCAGCCCAGAAGATGCCCCAAACCACATGCAAAGCGCCGACAGTCCAAACCAAGCACCATTCTCGGCTACGACCACATGGGGATATTGTAATGATGGGAGAGTAGTTTCCACACCACTACAGGCCATGTAAGTACATGTGGGGTTTTAGTTACACAGAATGTACTATCACCTTTTTAAACATTATTTAACATTTCTACTGCTGGCATCAACCTCAAATTCAGTGGTTCATTGAACCGCAACATGGCATTTCTTTTGTGAGGTAATAGTATTTTTTTACTTACGTAGGAGCATGATGACATCGTACGTCCCGTCGCACCCACGTGAATATGCGTACGGTCAGCCCCAGTTCCCTCAACACGTGGCATCCAACAGTTTCAGCCATCCTCAGCAGCAGAACCAGATGAACTTTCAAAGGTCGCCTGGGGTCACAAACCAGAGCGACATCTATCATTATGGTCCCGATGTATACGGCAACAGCGTGCAGTTCCAGAAAAATCAAGAGCAAGGATTTGATAGTATGGAGAAAACGAGTGGTGTGAACGAAATGGCTAGTTATCAAATCGGAAATGCATTCAACAGATGATGGCTTGGTTGCAGCCACCTGAAATGGCGCAAATGCTTAAAATTGTAAAGTCTAATTTTGTATGTCAAAAGATAACGAGCTGATTTTAGATGAATTATGAGACTTTAATTGTTATATAATTGTATTACATGATAATGTTACTGGTACATTGGGACTATAGAATTATTTTTGTTCATAATAACCAAGGGCAGGTCTACATTGGCAAGGCAATTATGTGTAACCATATGTGTTCAGTAATTCTTCAGTATTTCAAGAAATGAATTGGAAAATATTGTTAAATAATATAGAATATATGTAACAACGTGGTTAACGGCAGCTATATCATGTATCTTTTTTACTTTACCGATACATCATCATGCATATTATGCTTTTATATATATTTTCTGTATTATTATACTATTTTTTTTCTTATTTAATGTATAACCGAATTACAAGTGTCGGTTTCATACCCCCTGTTTTTGTACCAATATAACTGACTGAATATGATATACAGGGTACAAATTAATCTCGTAAGAGGTTATGTTTTTTAGAGTAACATTTGTTTGTTGTTAAATTGAATTTGTCAAAGTACAACACTATGTGTTGGCATAACAGTCCAGTATTTAATATATTTGTGGGTATACATCATAGTGTTTGGGATATTGTACTTCGTTTCCTCTATATTCCTCCTGTGATAAAGCCAAAGCTGATACCAAAAGATACTTAGACGGCTCAATTAAAGGTGTATCCAACACCATTCCAAATGTTCATTAAATATTTTCATTAAGTAACCAAAACATATTATATTCGTTGTTAAAACTTCACACATGTATCCTGTTGATTTACTGTTAAATAAAGATATGATAATATTGAACACATAAAATTATTCCTTCGACCTTGCGATGTTGTATCATCGATGTTCGTATCATCTCTCTCTCTCTCTCTCTCTCTTTCATTTCCTTTTCTCTCTTTCGTTAGATTTCAAATTTTCATTTGCAAGAATGCAGAAATGCAGGATATGACCAGAAAGTTCCTCCTCATAAGTAACAAGAGCATACAAAAAAAAAAAAAAAAAAACTCTAAGTCTCTGTTCCCTTCGTTGTGGTTTCAGTTAATTGCCCTAATTGATCATGCCGTGCCTGGGATCAGAGAAGTCTTGATACCCTGGAATTTAATTCATAATCATCTATATTATATCACGTGTCATATATATATATATATGTTCTGTTATTGTTGCCTTTTATTTGTTATGACTATTTTATTTGTTATGACTTAGGTTCAATTTTGAAAACTAAGAGATGTTATACATTATAACTTACCAATTTTGTGGTAGTTCTTCTTTATATACCAGTAGAAGAAGGCGACCAGTGCAATCAGGGCCAGCACGGTGCCTATACTGCCCAGAACCACCACCACTGTCCACCTCTGTCCTGAAATAAAGGCAATTTTATCCAGAAACATAATTTTGATTTTGTCCTATCCTCTTGAAACACATGAGGCCATACCGAAAATTAGTACAAAATGGACAAATGAACGGTAATATTTTTTGCATTATTTTGTGTTTGTTCAAATTCTCATTCAGACAAGTTTTTTCATCTAGATATGGCAAACACATTCGGAAACCTTGAAAATAAGTGGGCAACTGCGGGCTACCACTTCTGCAATAATTATGACTGATAATAACTTGTTCTATACCAAAAAAAAAAAAAAAAAAACATGCCCTATGACAATAATATAGCGATTTAGTTTGTTTCCAAAGGACATGCGTTGCAAATATAAAACCCAGAATAATAACCATGACAGATGAATGGGAAATATATGGGACGAATTCCTGCACCAGTCATACAACAAACCGTGTGCTAAAACCCTTACTAACCTCTTTTTTGTGCCTCCTCGCACGACACCTCCTCGTTATTGTATGGACACACTGGAAACAACAATTACCATTTTAACGCTATGAATCCGTTTATACACTGTCAATGCTTTATATCACAATTATAAATCAGTATTGCAGGGTTAAGTAAAAAAAATAAGCTCCAGGTGTTATTTAAAAAGTATTTATTGACTTGTCCGAGAAAATGATTAGCCTTCTATGGTTTGCAGACACTTTACAGACGGTCGTAAATGTACGTAGTTAAGTATACCTTCGTTGTAAACAATATGGAACCCTTGCCCAGTTGAGTTTTTACTGACGAATAACATAGCTACCCTGTTTGCCTTGGCGTGGAAGTCACTTGGAGGGGAGGCTGGAAAATAATATCGTCTACGACTTTTTTAAATTCGACACTTGAATAAAGAGTCGAACAAGTATACTGACAGGGACTTCGATGGAATAACTTCCGGTATACATTATTTTTTATACAAAGAAAAACAACAAATGTGATTATTTTTTTAAATAAACATATTTTAGTTATTTACTGTAAGTTCTTTTATGTAAGAATCCGTATGTTTTTATCTAAAATACTCTTAAATTTTTTGTCGTAAAGCTCTTAAATTTTTCATTTATCTATTCCTAGTAATTGATTTCTTAAGTAATTGTACATGTTTCATGTATATGTAAAGTCTTCTGAACATGTTATAAAGTATTTTAGACTCAAAATAAATTTATTATTATTATTATGAAATTATTCACGTATGCATACATGAATGAATAAAGCATTGAATACGTGTAAAAGAGACTGAATCGGTTTTACAAGAAGAGCCGCACGGTAACAGATACACATTTTGTTATCATTTTTAGGTTGTAAATAATTTGCGTAATTATGATTTATACAGTCGACAGTATTAATAATGACTTTGTTAAACATTCCGGGCGATGGAAAAAAAGAAACTACTTGGATATGGACGTATTACCTGATGAGTAAACAACTTCATCCTGCTCAGTGCTCGCCATAAAAAGAAGAGATCCATTGCCTAAGTTAAAAGCCTTGAAATATATATAAATCAATTCTTTTACACTTTGCACCTCAAAGGATTTTTAAGCTTGAATGAAACAATGAAATATATAATATGAACACTGGACAACCAGATTAAAATATATAACATTTTGATTAATTTAAAGATAGTTCAATTCAAGTTTCTCTATTGATAGTTATACAGCTCCCATAAAGGTGAAAATTTTATCTTCATGTATCACTATATATTTGCTTGCAAAAACGGAAAGTATTCTGAAATTTGGTGTGAGAGAGAGAGAGAGAGAGAGAGTATGTGTGTGTGTGTATGTGTGTGTGTGTGCGCGCACGCGCGCGAGTGCAAGTTTGTGTTTGTGTGGGGGTGGAGGCACAGATATAGAAAGAGAGGGGGGAGAGAGAGTGTGTGTAAGAGAATGTTAGTGCTGTATTTTAGGCTTACCTTGAACTTTACTGTAATCTTTCCATTGTCATATTTTGTGTGTATAGCATAGTTCAAAGCCATGTTAGCGGGGTAATTCGCCGGCCATGCTGGAGAGAAGATGGAACCCTCAGCAGCCGTCAGGATCGTAGTACCTAAACAGGGATTTTTCACTTTATTCCAACAACTCGAGAAACAGTGATATTAAAATTTACATGCCAGTGTTCAACATTCCAGGTCGGTTATTTCAGTATATCTAATATAATAACTGCAACGATTTCACTACGCTTAAAACGATAAACAATAAATATATATACTTAAAAAGTTTTGAAATTAAAAAAAAAAATATCAAAAGACAATAGCTGCCATTTTTGATATGGCAAATTTTGAAACAAACTGCAATATTTTTTACTCCAATCATTATTGTGGCAATATTTTCTTCAGGTTGAACATTAGCACCAAGAACTTAATATAAATGTTACAGTTATTATATGATACCTTCCATTTCCTCGGATGTTTTTGTTGTAAAATTGGCAAATGATGAATTACGTCTTTCCTTCAGAGACCTTGTAAGATCGATCTGTAAGATATAAAGTACTGTGCCCATATTATAATTACGATACCGAGACATAGATCATTTGTCGAGTAATACAGTATACCATTGGGAAAACACTTGCTCACAAAACAATCTGCTTCTTTCGACTGTTTTTATTTATTTATTTATTTATTTATTTATTTATTTATTTATTTATTTATTTGCAAAGGAGCAAAAGCAAGCAAAGGTGGTAAAAATACATTTGTCTGGTAGATATTTTACCCACCCTCAAAGCTGGTTTATCCATGAGTTCCATTGTGGAGACACCAATGGGGATGGAAGAATCGTCTTTGTAATCACCAAGCACGTAACCTCGTCCGTCTCTTATCTGAAGCAGAATACAATCTATTTTCGCCCCATATATCTAGATCTATCCTTGCGACTACGGCAATATTAACAGATTTTAAAATCGCCATAAGCATGAAAATATTCAAATTAACAATACGACTAATTAAAATGTTATTTATTTTTCGTTTGAAGCAATGAAGAGATGACACAAAATCCACAGAGGGTATACAACCAGTAATAATATAATGGATATTCTAGAATTTGTATACGTGCGTTGTATAAAATATATGAAAAGGGTCATTGTTTATATATACTGTGTACTGTACAACTTTATTTTAACAAACTATATATATATATATATATATATATATATATATATATATATATATNAAATATATGAAAAGGGTCATTGTTTATATATATATATATATATATATATATATAGTTTGTTAAAATAAAGTTGTACAGTACACAGAAGGTGTAAAGGCGTGCACCGTAGCCCCAAAACTGACTAAATTGACAACACTGGTCACGTGGTCTCTAATAAGTACATTTCCGGATCTAGGTGCCCGGGGGAGGGGGGAGTGAGGGTACCTGCAGTTTGGTGATATCAGCGGGGACTGTCCTAAACATAAGTACCATCCCCCGGACAGTTTCGTTGTTGGTGGAACACTCTAGGAAAAAAGTGCACGAGGTTTCTGAAAAAAAAACTAAAATATTAAATGTTAAGAAAATTAGGCCATAGGAGAACCAGTTACACTATGAGGCAGTAAATAAATATTTAAAACGGGTTCTATTAACACCTTTCAGCCATACTATATATATATATTATAATTGTCAAGGTGAAATGTTTTAACACACGTTAAGTTAATTGAACCACTTCTTGTTAAAATAAATCCATCTGTTCGGTAACTTTTTAAAAACGAAAAGATGCGTTAGGGGAGGGGGCATTAACAACAGTTTTCGACCACTATCGACACAAACGACACTTAGTGAAGACTGAATAGATTGCCATTTAGACCTTTTTGGTGAGTACCTGAAATCGTGTATTTCGACTGTGTAAATGGGAGGGGGGGTATATTGTAAAGTCACTACAGCAATAGCTTACAGAGATTTTAATGTATCTTCTGGTTGTGTTGGAGCATCCCCTCCTTACACTTTTTATCCAACTCTGTTATAAATACAGGAGGCGGACACGACTTACAGGAATGTCCCTGCTAACTTCGCTTGTGGTTTTATGTAAATGGTTACCCCCTAACCCACCCACTCAAAGTTATCCTACCGGACTGTCTATCTCATACATACCATTGGAGGGAATAGTGATGTTACCAGCGTCATAGAACGTCTCATTACATATGGCTGAGGCGGGAATACTGGCTGAAAACACAATATACATGTACTGTGATATATACCTGTATATATATATATATATATATATATATATAGAGAGAGAGAGAGAGAGAGAGAGAGAGAGAGAGATGCTGGATCAAGGATAATGACATCACGAAAAATTCTGTAAATAGTAGAACGGATTAAAACTGGGTACTTACTTTTAAGTAAGACAAGCGTCATGCATACGCAATATACCGTTCCTTTAAACCCCGCCATATTGCTGACACAAGATAAAACTAACAAGAGGGGTAGGCAAGGACGAATTCAAGGATCTTATCTGTTACTGTCGTTGATTTAGGGCATGCCAGGTAGAAATCAGGGTTCATTGATAAACGCAGTTTATTATTACCCATTGAGCGATTATTAACCATAAGTTAAGCAGATGTTAAGCAGGACTTACTAGGACATGCCGTCTAACGTGTGTTCACTTCGACTTAAGTGTAAATACCATTAACTAAATAAAAACGGCTCAAAGCTACGTCCATCAAAACGGACTGGGCATAAAATAAAAGAATGATGAATAAGTAATAAGTAAATTAGAAAGGCACTGGGATACGCCTGTCAAGGCAGCTAAATATCATTATTATAAATCGGTTAATTAAGTAATGAATGGTTCGCCTTAGATCGCCTAATGTCGTTTTTTAATAGGTAAACTCCCGGCCGACAGCTTTGGAAGTATTATACAGGGCCCTGCCCGGGAACTGCGTTTTACTTTCATACAGTGGTAGAGCGTGCAAGTGAACATCCCAACCCCCACTGGTATATGTACTGATTATTGATGAAGGTATTGAATTTTTAACTTTATTATGTGTTAGTAGGTAACAAGAGCACGCATAAAAGTCTCTGAAAGTCTCTGTTCCTGTGGTTGCAGTATAAATTGCTCTAATTAACCAGGCCATGCCTTGGGTCAGAGAAGTCCTGGTAACCTGGAATTGAATATGATAATTAGCTAAAGCACACATATATATCACTTTTTTCCATTCTTATTTTAAATACTTGTGCCAAAAGTTGGTTTGATACAATTGTACAGATGAGCAATTAAATATGACTGTGGCGAAGATCACGCAGTAACAAAATCATTCAGATATCATCATGTGTTTCTACAACGGAATGCAAATGCCCTAAGTTCTGGCGTGTATGTATAGTCCCTTTTAAGTTCAATTTGTAAAACCGCCAGTCACGCCGTGTGCGATGTTGTACTATAACTTACCAATTTTGTGGTAGTTCTTCTTTATATACCAGTAGAAGAAGGCGACCAGTGCAATCAGGGCCAGCACGGTGCCTATACTGCCCAGAACCACCACCACTGTCCGCCTCTGTCCTGAAATAAAAAGAAGATAGGCGCAATTAAACGATATGGCAACACATATCTCTAGAGTCTATTTAAGTCTTATTGAATAGTTTATATATATTTAAATCACTAAGACCATGGCAGTTAGTATAGATAATAATTTGTTACCATGCCACGCACATAACAATAAAAAGCGACCCGTGTTGCCCGTTTTCTTGGTATGAATGGGACTGTGAATGCTTGTAGTAATTTCGGATGGAGGAGACATTAAGACACTATTTCAATTGATATATGCACTTACTGAAATTCTCATGTTTTCATTTAGATATGGCAAATGAATAGGGGAAGATTGACAATTCGTGGGCATCTACCGGTGCGGACTTTTCAGCATGGAGTGACTTGCGAAATGCTAGACTAGTCTCCAAGCAACTATGGCAGATAAATGGTCGGTGGCTGAAATATATGGGATGAATTCCTGCACCAGTCATACAACAAACCGTGTTCTAAAACCCTTACTAACCTCTTCTGTCCGCCTCCTCGCACGACACCTCCTCGTTATTGTATGGGCACACTGGAGACAAAAAAAATAAATAAATAAAAACAACAACAACAACAACAACAACAATAATAATAATAATAATAATAAAATAAGCGATATTTTTCAAAGTTATCAATTTACCGTCGATGTTTTATGTTTTATATATTATTTCGTATGGGGTTAAGTTAAAAAAACCAAACGCCCAGTGTGTTATTTATGTAGTATCCATCGACTTACGCGAGAAAACGAATTTCTGGCCCCGATTTGCAATGATTTTACATGAACCATATGCGGTACATCGTACCTTCGTTGTAATCAAGATGGAATCCTTGACCCGTTTGGTTTCCACTGAAGAAAGTCACAGCTACCTTGTTTGACTTGGCGTGGTAGTCACTTGGAAGAGAAACTGGAAAACAGTGTTGTGTAAGCGTTTTTAAATCCGACACTTGAATATCTGGTAAAGGGTCAAATAAGTATATTGACAGGGGCTCCGATGGAATTACTAACGGTCTGCGATTTTTGTTCACAGAAAAAAAAACGGAATCAAACGTGGAACACATCAGTGAATGAGTGCAGAAGCAGTGAATGAGTGTAAAGGAAAATGTATCAGTACATGTATATAGAAAGGGCCGCACAATTTTAGATATGCATTTTAATGTGCAAAATAAATTGCCTATTTACACGTTTTTTAAGTCTGCGATTACCTATTCAGGTATTTCGTATATGATAAAATAGCTACGAAACGGAGGACTTATTACCTGATAATTCACCACTAAAGTAAGTAACGGAGTCCAGGTCACTACTTCCCATTAGAAATATAGATCCTCTGGACAAGTTAAAAGTCTAAAGAAATCAAATAGTTATTGCTTTTACCATAAGGGGTCATCTTCTTTCATCATCATTTTCACAAGTGTACAAACCGTACGCCGAGGGAGGGGGTTAAATCTCTCTGTAAGCTTTTGAAAAATAACAAAAATTATATTCCAAATTGCTATCAAATGTAATATATATATTTTTTCTTTTCATCCTGTACCCTCTAAAGGGAGTTCAGGAAAAAGTCTCCCCGTTGTAGACTTAGGAAAATGATGAAAAAAAGATTACCCCTTAACACTTCAAGAGGTACTTATGATAAAATGACTCTGTTAAAATTTACAATACGAACACTGAACTTCCAGACATAGAATAAATGACACAAACCAGTTGCAAAGGGAAAATGTCTAATTAAAGTGCAATTAAAGTTCGTCTATAGCTACAGCTACTATAAAATGAAAGTGATATGTTGCGCTGTCTGTTTGCTTGCAAAAGCAAAAAGTCATATGAAATCTGGTATGTGTGTGTGTGTGTATGTGAGAGAGAGAGAGAGAGAGAGAGAGAGAATGTATGTGCTGCATCATAAGGCATACCTTGAACTTCACTATAATTTTCCCATTGTCATACTTAGTGCGTATGTTATAGAACACCGTGATGTTAGCGGGATAATTCGCCGGCCAGGCTGGGGAGAAGATGGAGCCCTCAGCAGCCGTCAAGTGCGTAGGACCTAAGCAGGGATATTTCATTTAATTCCACAATTTACGAAACAGTTAAATTGAATTTCACGTGCCTTCATTCAACTCTCGAAATCTGTTATATCAATATATCTAATAGTAAAAGCAATTGCAAAGGTTTCACGGCGCTTACAAACATAATTAATAATATTTCTAAACTAAGTACCTGTATTAGAAGTATTGGACGAAATAGAAAGAAAATGACTCTTCTTCAGTGCGGTGAATTTTAAAGCATACTACAATGTCTTGAATTCAATCACCCTTTTTTTTATTACATTCTTTCAGCCTGAAAGCTGAACATACATGTATTGGTAAAACCTGGCATAAACACCTTGAAACTAATATAAAAGTTACAGTTATTATATAACACCTTATACCTTCCATTTCCGATAATGTTTTTGTTGTAAAAGTGGCAAATGATGATTTACTGCTTTGTTTCAGAGACTTTGTCAGATCGATCTATAAATAATAAAAAGTGAGAAAATCAAGCGTAGGGTGTGTGTGCATATTATAATAGTCGATGTCAACGCATAGACCATATGTCGAACACTAAAATGTCATCAAACAAACGGTCACTCACAGAAGAAAGTTTCAACTGATTTTCATTTAAATTTTGGTGGAGTTAAAACAAACAGAGCTGACAAGCAACATACAACTATTTTTCTTGCAAATGTCTAACTCACCCTCAAAGCGGGTTTATCTGTGACATCCAGTGTGGAGACACCAATGGGGAGGGAAGAATTGTCTTTGTAATCGCTGAGCACATGACCTCGTCTGTCTCTTATCTGTAGCGAAAAGCAAGCTGGCGTACTAACACCTCTGTTTCTGCATCACCAAAATGTAATATACCGGGTATTCTTCATACAATACCGATAATGCAACATGCTGGCTATTTTTCCCATATTTCCCACATTTCTATTCTTTTGATTTCTTCAGTATTGACAGATTTCAAAATTATCACACGCATCAAAATATTAAGTAATTTAATTGTAATTAAGGGGAACGCTGCCAGAAATGATATCGTACTTCGACTGAATCAACGCAAAGATTGCACAAAGGGTACAAAAAGTAATCACCCCAGACGCCTCCAGAAATGTGCACGTGCCCATTAAAGACTTCACACACACACGCACACACACACACACGCACACACGCACATATACATATATGGTCAGTGTTTTCCACATCGTCCCATCAGGAATAATAGACACGGGGCGCATTTTTTAACATCAGAGAACAGTTTTAACAAAAAGAAAATACACGTGTTGAAACAACCCCCTGAAGATATTGTTGTAACCGACCGGGGTGCAACAAGTCGCTGTTCTATTTCTTAATTTTTTCCTTGTATGTAGGCCCTACCTGTGCAAATTTACTATTGAACTTATTTCTGAGGTCGTTATATGCATAAAAGAATAGTTAGAAAGTTGTGCCCAACATTCTGACTTACGTATCGGGGCTTTAAACTACATGCATGCATTATTATTATTATTATTATTATTTTATTTTTTTTTTTTTTTTTTTTGGGGGGGGGGGTTACCTGTAGTGTGGTGATATCAGCGGGAACTGTCCCAAACATCAGTACCATCCCTGGGTCAGTTTGGTTGGTGGAAGACTTCAGGAAGAAAGTGCACGACGTCTCTGGAAAACAATTTAATATCAGAAATGTTAAGAAAATTAGGACTAGAGGAGCACCTGTTGTTACTATGCAGGCCCATAATAATTTGTGTATTCAAAGCAAGTTCTATTTACACTTTTCAGGAATACTTGCTTCATAGTCCTCAGCTTAATATGTTTGTAAAAGTGACATAGTGAAATTTTTGAATCACACTTAGAAGTACAAAACACTTAAAATAAGTTCATCAGTTTGGCAAATTGATTAGAACGTAAATATGCATTACAGGGGAGGGCTAGGAGGAATTTCTCTTATAACATCGCGCGTGATTCTATATGAATGCACCCGCCCCCACTCACACATATGTATACATGTAGCTCATACGTACTGATTGTATAGTATGCCTGTCTCGTACATACCATTAGAGGGAATAGTGATGTTACCAGCGTCATAGAATGTCTCATTACATATGGCTGAGGTGGGAACACTGGCTGAAACATAATATACATGTACTGTGATATATACCTGTATTTGCATATATATTAAGGATAGGAGAGAGAGAGAGAGAGAGAGAGAGAGAGAGAGAGATGTTGGATCAAGAATAAAGTAGTATTTACATCACGAGAGACTTTGTAAATAGTAAAACGAAATCAAAGGGGGTACTTACATTTAAGTAAGACAAGCGCTATGCAATATACATGTACCGTTCCCTTTAACCCGACCATATTGCAGTCAACAGATAAAACTAACAAGAGGGGTAGGCAAGGACAAAGTCATACATCTTATCTGGTACTGTCGTTGATTTGGGGCATGTCAGGTAGAAATCAGGGTTTGTTGATAAACGCAGTTTATTATTACCTATTGAGAGATCATTTACCTTAAGTTAAGCAGGAGATATATGCGACGTACTACATGCCTTGAGTATACTTCGGATTATAAGTATAAATAGCCATTAATAAATAAAAGAGGTCCAGGTTCATTACTCCGCATTATGGTTGGTTGCACTCAAAACAAAGTGAAAAGCTTTCTGAAGCCGAGCGTACACGATCTTATCTACATGTACGTAGAATGATTTCAAGGCAAGCGCCCTAAGAAAAAGACAGACGGACAGAAGACGGATGTCAGACGGAAATGTTCCTCCCCATCTTAATACTAAATCTCTGTCTGAATCAGCAACTAGAGCACTGGGTTTGATAATAGCAAAAGCAAAAAAGGTTGGTCAAATTAAATGGGATTCTCCACATACCAAAAATTGTTTAACAGTTGTGTAAGTCCAATTTTAGAATACGGGTCGGGGGTTTGGGGATTTCCAGAAAGTGAAACCTGTGAAAAAGCTATGTTCAATGCGTTAAGATACTATTTAGGAGTACACCTATTTACACCCAAAATTAGTCTGTATGGTGACTCAGGTTGGATACCTCTAAAATTTAATAGGTGGTTGAACATACTTAGACTTTGGAACATTTTAATACTTGCCCAAAATGATAGACTTGTGAAACAGATTTTTAAGAGGATTATAAATTGGGGAAAAAACTGGTGCTCCGAGGTAAGAGAGATACTCAAATTATGTAATATCGAAAGCCATTTTTCGATCAAACAAATTGTGGATATAGAATACATTAAAAAAACTCTTTTATGAAAAATTTCAAATTAAATGGAAAAAAGACATTTTGAAATTTCCCAAACTTCGAACATATATGACATTTAAAAAAAGAATTGAAAACTGAAAAATATTTACACCTAGATTTAAATAGAAAAGAAAAATCAATTTTTACTCAATTTCGGATGGGCATTTTGCCTCTGCATGTGGAAACTGGACGGTATACAAATGCACCTTTAAATGAAAGAATATGCCAAGTATGTAAAAAAGACTTAGAAGATGAGAGTCATGTCTTACTTCGGTGCACTGCTTACACAGAGGAAAGATATAACTGTTTTTTAAAGTTGGCGATCCAAAAAAATGATACCTCTATAGAAGATTTAATGGAAAAAGATTTGAGGCAGCTAGTAAAATTTGTAGGTAAGATTTTTGATAAAATACAGGAACAATTGTACTCAACAGGTGTCTTATAAACCCGAAGGGCTAGGTGTTCAAAACACAAGACACGTAAATAAATAACCCAGACCGCCAGGATTGGCGAGTCATGGAAATACTCTGAAACCCATTTAGAGCGACAGACTGTGTAATCTACTATCAATAGAATCACTGTTTGAATGCATTCTATCTAATCACACCGATAGGCCGCGGATTTAAGATAGGAAAGTTCGCGTGAATTTCAGGGCTCACTACAAACTGGTCAGTTGAAACTGTCGGAGAGTTGTAGCACCCCAGTGCAAAGCTGAGAGGAAAATACCTAGGGAGAATCTGATCATAAGTACACGTAAGTGTGAGATGGTTATTTTTTCCACAAAAGGGGGGCATTTCGACCAAGTCTGGGCAATTCGTTATGGGCTACTGATAAGAGCATTTTATGGCCCGTTATTTTCAAAATGGTACCATCTCAAATTATAACCCTCATTAATATTATCTGCAGAGTTCTGCTGTAGGTGCTGCGTTCTTCGTTTAAGTAAGAAGGTGTGAGTGTATGAACACCCGACCCCCATCGACTATCGAAGGAAGTATAGGGCCTACTTTCTTCTTTGTTACGTGTTAGTCAATCAGAAGTCTTTTGCTTTTCTTTCAGTCTGCGTCTAAAGCAGTACCAAAGACAGTAAAAATAACCCACGTGCATGCAAAGGGTCTTGATGGATATTACTGTTGCTGAAGGCAACGTTAAGATAAAAACCTTAAACTTTAAATCAAGGTAGAGATAAGCCTACTTTCAAAGCGTCTTCTAGCAGTATACGTCAAATGTCTTTCCAGGCAACATAGAACATATGGCTGACTTAACCCACGCAACGGAAAAAAGATTGGACCGAGGCTTCTCTGCAGAGGAGACTGCCATCCAGTTTCCACCGGACTGCGATCAAGAAGTTGTAGGCCCCGAGTTAAGCTGGACGCAGTATGCATCACAGTTCGTCATAAATCAGGAAACTGGTGGAAAAGATTTTTTCAATGCCGCAATTCTGCCATTTTCAACGCCATCCACCATTGAAAATGCAGAGAAATTTTGGAGGTCTGTAATTTTTGACTGGGTCCGCTATATTCCTTTCCTTCGGATGATCGTAAGACCAAAAGTGGCCGGGCAAGAAAGCTGCGCTGAAGACTTCGTGCATGTTTTTCTGCCAGCTGACTGGGAAAATATAGACTTCCGAGTCATTGAAGATAAAGAACGATTCGAGACGGAGACTGAGGACCCGATGGATCTCAGAAAAGGCCCCCCTCTGCGAGTGCTACTCTGGGCAACTGGCCCCGACCGAGAGATTCGGCTCGTCATCAATGAAATCAATAGCGACAACGCGGGACTAGCGGTTCTCACCGACGCATTTGGCAAAATCACCATGTTGAAACTGGGGAAGAAGATATCTGCACCAATCCCTCCAGTCAAAATGTGCGACTTTCCGAAAATTCTGAAGGACGCAGTCGCGGCCCGGGAGAGCAGTGACGCAGCGTTTTGGAAGAGCGTGGTGGAGTCCATGCCAAAAGATGGAGTGAAGTTGTCCATCTCTGCCCACTGTCCAGCCTCTGGACAATATTCCGGTCGAATTAGAAATGTCAGTAGGCAAATGACAGAGAAGCAGGTCAGCGGTATGGTGAAAATGACGGAAGATTATAATTCTACGTGCTTCAGGGTAAGGGTCCTTAATTTTTTCTAAGGTTAACACTGTCATAGGAATGTGCCCTCAAACTGCTCCAAAATTAATATTTTTTCTTCAATTGATTTGAAACGATATCATTCTCTTGCGTAGGCAACACTTTTGTTTTACACACCTTTTACAAGAATTTGATATTTTCCTTAAAGATAATTACTAGCGTCTACCAGCTCCTGCTCCACTTGTACACAGGGGAGAGTGTTAACATCACCACCAATGTTGACGTCACTCGTTTCGTCCCCGAACTGAAAGGCGTTCTTACTAAACTTATCAACGGAATATCCCTCTACGCTGACTTCAAAGAAACAGGCGGAGCCACGATCAAAGATTTCTTGCAGAAGAACTCGTCAGTAATACAGCAATCTGTGGAACACGGCTTGTACCCGGCGGACCGGATTCAGGCTCTCGTCGAGGCGCACATGACCGAAATTACACGGAAATACCCGAAGCACAAAATCAACCAAGAGCGAGTGGGGTTTTGGTCTTTCCGCAAGCAATTCGTCCAGAAGCAGGGGACAAATTTCCAATTCAAAGGTGAATTCAGAATTCAGTATTCGAAAAATGTAGTAAATTAAAATCCAAGTGGCATATCTTTTAATTTAAAATATTTTAAATTTTTCTTTGTGAAGACATATTCTTATATGGTCATTTTCCCTATTTATAATAGCTATATACATGTAGGTCATGTGTGATCCATCCCCAGAAATGCACTGCATGACGTCACGCTTAGCCCACTGCGCATGCGTGCACTTTTAATGAGTTGCTAGATTGCCATAGGAAAATGAATGGGTTCGCGATTCGTGGGTAATTCGTGATAATTGACAAACTAACGGCCTGACGCCGATAGACAGCAACGCTGTGCTATGCTTCAAGCAACTCCTGACCAAATATCGCTAGGCTTTTTAAAAATATTCTGTTGTACACACGTACTAAGAAGTTTGCCGTGTATTGCCTAGCCTACCCTCAGCAAAACGCACATATTTTCAGAAATAGTGATTTTAGACGGTAGATTCACTCAGAAACAAAGGCAAACTAATTCGTTGCCGATAGCACCAGCAGATAGCAGCACCATACAGAGTCTGATTAAAAACTTTCGTGGCAATTGAAGAACTTTTACCACTGTACAATGGAGTCCAAAAAAAGCACTTGGCACAAATGTGAAACTGCCCAGTGCAAGGCCAAGAATTCAATCAGTTTTTTCAATCATATTATCAGATTCTACATAAATTGACTGACAATATCACTACTCAGTATTTAACTAATCTCTTAATCCAAAATTCCTATCATCATTTAATAATAATGTAAAATTCTTCTTTCAGATTGCTATTTATTTTAAATTTTAATGCTGCAACTGTTCCAAAATAATCTTGTAGTAAAGGAAAAATGCAAATAAGAAGTGGAAGACCAATTTTACCCCCATTATTCAATTATTTGAATATAAAAAGAATAAGATCACGATTTAACAAATTAAAATAATCTTTCATGAACTATTTCATGAATAACATATTAAACAAAATTAAAGTTATAAATTAGTGGTAATGGCTTATTCTGGAATATATGACCTCTGCACAACATCAGTACCTGACTTGGTACAGTATAGTTACTACTTGGATACAGAGTTAGATTTAATAATGTAACAATAAGAACAATATATATTACAATAAACTTCTCTGCACATGTCAGACGCTTGTTACCATGAACTAACACTACTTGACAATGGGCTGAGCACTTATCACAGAGTCTGCGTGCGATGCCATTGTTGTGCTAGTTGTGCTGATTGGCTAGTTGAGTCACGTGAAGCCCTACTGTAGCGCCCTCGCGTATCGCGTGAATGCTGCGCATTTCTGGCCATGCGATGTATATCCAGATATATAACTGAAGATAATTTATTAGAATTGATAAGATATTCGTAATATTTTAGCTAGATTTGTATCCAACAGATGCAAATTCTGCCGTTATTTCTAATTGCATGTGTTATTTAAATTTTGTTTTTCACACTGGACAAAGTTCTTTAAATACTCTGATGATTAAAAGAATGATTGCCTCTCAATTTCAGGTTTAATTCTGAATACTCTAGAAACCATTATCGAGACGCAAATTCGATTCTACTACGACAAACGCAACCCCAACAACAGTTTCATCGTTTTCGAATTAAGCCAAGACGCCTTCAGCGAGGAAGAGGCTCACCAGATCAAAGAAGATTTCTTCAATCTCTTAGATTACGTGATTGATAATCCTGATGGGATAATTGCAGATATTCCTTGGGACGACATGGCACAGTATCGTAGTTCATGCAACACCAAGTGATAAAAATGTTTAAATATCAGCAACGAGCATCTTCTTCTCTAGAGACGCATTTTCCCCATTATATCCGACTGCTTGATCATATAAAATGGATGCACCAAAGAATATCGACAGAAAAGGCTTTACAATCGAGTTCCACATATTTATTTTCATACATATACAATTAGTGAAATTTTGTGAAAGGGGGAAATTAGCAAGTCATAATGACAATAGACAGAAAGCACATGTAATTTTGAAGTAAAATGTTTGTTAAAATCATATCAATGTTTCTCAAACAATAAGAAAAAAGTCCGTCTTGCTGAGACGACAGTTGCTACTAATTTGACAATTTTATCAGATAATAATAATTATTGAATAAACTTTCTTAAATCAGAAAAAAAACAACCCCAATTAGTCAAAATAGTGAATCCCTTTTTTACCATATTGATACAAAGGCCTTGGACTATCCTTTTTGTTAACTGGTAACAGATAAAACAATTACAAATGTAACTGTCCTTTGGATCAATCCAATTTCTCAACTATAAACACCAACGAACAAATATAATGCAAAACCTATAGGAATAATAAATTTTACTTCCCAGAGAAACAGCGACTTGACGATATAAATCTCTAAATATTTAAGACAACAACAACATATACTGTTTACAATAAACAGCTACACTAAATGTAGTTATAACATATTAAAATGATCAACTTCTTTTTACATGGTACGTTACTATTAAAAGTTGGAGTGCTCTGCACTATAGAAAAAAATAAGCTTGAAATACAAATCTAGCTACGTACTGTCTATATCTTGTCAGTGAAAATCTCGAGCATTCTTTCATGCAATCTACTGTCATTAATGCACAACAACGAACAAACATCTTTTCTTATATTCTAACACGATCTAGACTAGTCTATTTCTTCTGTATATTTTGACAAAAGCCAGCCAGATTGAATACAATCAGTACACGGATCAGGCACCTGCGCCCGTTTTACATGACGTCTGCATACCTATACATCTGAATGAAAACATAAGTAGCCAGCTAAAGCTGACAAATCTACATACAACTATCTCAGTCCATATATTAAGGAAAAAATAAACTATACATTGCAGAACTGGGCCTGTAATTAAGCAAAATTTTCAGAGAAGGAAAAAAAAAACACGAAATGGGAATTCTTATTGGCCTTCTGTAAATTGGTCAGCCAAAGTTAACGAATCCATCAAGTGACAACCATAGAGAGTACAACTACAACATGGATAGTTTTTTAAATATCTTGTTCGTGGTTCTACAAGATGTTGAATTCAAAATTTTGGTGATGAGAATAACTTTGAAAACCACTCACAGTTCAACGGACACCCTGTAGGTATCCAGCCCGAAGATGTTCCAAGCAAAACAGTGGTTTCATAAAAAATTTGTTCTGACACATAAGTGATTATCATCATCATCATCATCATCAAAACCTTTCCTTAATATGGACACTGTACTGTAAAGCCACTGGGTGTTCCACACCAAGAGTTTATGAAGTTGATATTTTTATTTCTCGTAGCCAAAGAACCTTTGTGGCTGTCCAGGATAGCTGTATCTAGGCTGCCCTGCCTGAAATGAAAAAAAAAAAAACTTCTTAAAAAAAAAAAAAAAAATAAAAGCAAATGAAAATGTATATGATTATGAGCCAACAAATACATACATATATATAAATAAGGGCTATATTGTTCTATGTGGGCTGATCCAACTCCAAGGGGACTCTCGCTGAATACAATCAGATTGCATTCTGCCGAGTCCCTGGGATTTGGATCAATCTATGTACAACAATAATTTCATTGAGAATAAGCCCTAAGATAAACTGATTTATTGTGTAAAGAGAATGCTGTACTCATCTCTATTTAACAGTATTTCAAATATTATTCACTACTGAGAGCAAGAATTCAAATGGTAAAAGTGTATAATGAATGGTTAATTAACCCATTGTACAATACAATGCACACTAAAACTTCTATTTTCAGGATTAAATCTTCATTGTTGTATAAACTATAAAACTGACATTTAAATTGCCCCTAACTTATCACAATATTATTTTTGAAGAACTCTGCACATCTTCAATAAATGAAAATTGAAATGCATAAAATAACAGCATATCACAGAGCAGCACTTACATAAAAATAATAATAACAATATAAGCATCATCAAATCTAATTTTCACATTTGTCGCATAATTCATATTGCTATATTATCAATTTCAAAGTTCACAATTGTCACATAATTTACATTACTATTATTATTATTCTATCCAGGCCATTGTTCACTTACAGGTTGTGAGGCAGGTGGCTGGTAAGTACTGGTGGTAGCCTGTGTTCTCACAGGATAGCCAGTCATTATACTCCCCTATGGAAACAAAAAAGATACACCTCAACTTTGTGTATGTTCAAGCAAATTAATACTTGATAGATTAAAGTTAATATTATCACAATAATACAACTATACACCTAATTTTTAATATTTCAGTATATAATCACTCACATAATATGATGATTTTTTTCTAACTGGTGAAATATCTTAAGTTTCCTCCACAAATATCAGATATACATACGGCAAGTCTAAGGGTTACTTGAAAAATTGTTTCATAAAGAGTTAAAAGTTAGGACAGTCAATATATTCAGTCCCATCCGTATTAGGAGTACTCACCCTGGGTGGGGGTTGCTGAGGGGGGAGCTGCATCTGCTGCTGGATGACACCAGTACCCCTCATGGAGGACTAGAGGGGGAAAATAATGTTTTAATATAATAATAATTAATAATATAAATAAACAAAATCTCTCACTGTATGACTCTGAATAGAAATAACTTTCTAGAAGACATGAACATCTGGGTTGACACTCAAACAGCAATTTTAGCCACATGGTAAACATATTCAAATTTATTTCATTGTTTAAAATCAATTCCATCACAAATGTAGTTCAAATTTCTGAATTGGATAAGCTATGAGAACAGAGTTTTTTTTTTTTTTGGTTAAGAACCAGATTTTATCCAGGACAAGCCCTGAGTGATACTGACCATCATCTTGTACTGATCCTTAGGAGATTTACTGCCCTCCACAGTGGGCTGTAATTGACCTCGAGGAGACCCCAAGTGAGCTGCTGATGGACAACCAGAACAAAGTTTAATAATAATAATAGTAATAATAATTTGTTAAGATTGCAATCCAGTAGATTAAAGATGTGCATAAAATGATAAGATCACTGCAAAAATTAAATGCTATATGTTTGAATGAAACTCAGTTAAAAGACTGGGTCTTTAGGAGCAAATCATTGGCAGAAAAAAGTGTATGCCACATAATATTATGTCATCTTATAACTTCTTGTTTATCTCAAAAACATTTTGTGGAATGGGATCTTTCTTTGGTGGAACCTTTGTGTATTTCAAACATGTTTTTTTTTTCTCGTCATAAAAGTATCTGATTTAGCAGAGGGTATATTGCTTTCCAGTCAGAACACAGAACACATACAATTATTTGTACTGAGTTGTATCTGTATTTGTACCCTACCTCCAATTCTAGGAATAGGATAACTGGCATGCTGAGCTGGATATTCTCCAATCTTCTGCTGCTGATGCGCATAATGACTGGGATATGTACTGAAAGCTGATTGGCTGCCAGGATATTTGCCTGCTGGTGATTGGTTGGCCTGGAACTTATTTGTCACCTGTGGTTGGCTGCTTGTGTAGTTGGATGCACCTTGGGTTGTTGAAGGAGGGGCAGGGAAACTGTGCCCTGATTGGCTGCTGTAGGCCATGTGACCTTGAGGTGGATAACCTGCAGGCTCTGTTGGTGGGAAAAAAAATTCTGAAGCATATTGATCTTCTATAGACTACATTATAAATTAATTTGTAATACAGAAAAAAAATTTTTTTTTTTTTTTTTGAGACAGAAATTTGTGATCCTAAAAATTTAGCCTTTAAAAACATTGTGGGTAGAAGAGGCCTGAATATGCTATCCTGCAGAAAATATACACACCAGAATATATAGTAAAGTATATTGAGGAGAAAATAATATACAGAAGTATTTCGCCTTTCACCATCTGATTTTTCAACGTATGCCCCAGAAGCCCAGTGCTCACTCTGATCTGTTGCCTGAGAGAGTCCCGATTTGGGAACAGCATTTCTTTCAACTAACAACAGGAAAATAATAATTAAAAAAAAAAACTTTCAGGCAAATACTCACTCTGCTCAGTAAACTGTGGGTGTTGTGGTTTAGGAGCAGCATAATTGGCCATGGCATACTTCCTGGGGTCGGCGGTCACATAGGGACTGCTGGTATACATGGAGACTGGGGGAGGGGATGGACTCCTGGGCCTCTTCATACTCTGTAGGGAGAAAACATATAACAGTGTAATAGTCTGGGCCTCTTCAAACTCTGGAGGGAGAAAATGTTATGACATTATTATATTCTAGGCCTTTTCATACTCTGGAGGGAGAAAGTATTAAAACTTATTCTATCCTGGGCCTCTTCATACTCTGGAGGGAGAAATTGTATAATGTTGTTATATTCTGGGCCTCTTCGTACTCTGGAAGGAGAAACTGTTACGACATTGTTAAATTATGGGCCTCTTTATACTCTGGAGGGAAAAAATGAATAACTCTGTTAAAAGTTCACAAATAGTCATTGTGTGCATGATGTCTTAAATGGAATTCCTTAATATGGGATTTTATTACAGCCCTAGGAACTAATTGGCCCTGTTATAGTTGTCCGATGTCAAAGTGTTCAAATGTGAAATAAGTTCAGTACCGAACACTGCCTGCAACTGAGGTTGTGGAAATAAAAGTCTCACTTAGTGTGACAAGTGAGCTGAATATTATTATTTACTTAGTTTCCTATATTTTTTTTTTCTTTACATTTTACAAAAAATCGCTGAAAGCTTTTCTGGCCTTTAGATGGTTGCCTAAACTGACAGGAAATTGTAAAATATTCTGAATCAGTTACAATTTCAACAAATAATTGTCCATCTTTGCTAACTAAACACATTCAAAACACACATAAAATGACAATTTACTGAATACTACATTTTTATGAAAACATAACACGCACAGCTTTTACCATCACCAAAACAACAGCTGATCTTGAAAGGTATTTAGTACCACATTACCCAAGACACTTTGTACCTACAACATCGTTGCCTGGGGGTTTCAAACTATATTGCAACAGTTGTGATTTACAACACAATGATCAACACATTCTAAAATGACCTTTCTTCTTTCAGATTGGCCTTACAGCATAAAGTTCTCCAAGCAGATTAGTTCACTCATGTACTGCCAGATAGACAGTGAAGTGCTATATCCTTTATTGTCATAGCAACACAGTAATTACGACACAACATTATGACACAGCACTGCCTTCATAATCCAAGAGGGTTTAGGAACTGTTCTGATCAGATTAAACAATTATCTGCGAATATCTATACCAAAAACATAGCACAAACACTATCCATGGGAATACTTCTGTGCCTCTAACATTCAGCACCGTATTGACAATATCACGATACATATGAAAAACAAATGCTCCACTTGATTGTGCTAGGTGTGACATGAATTGTGCTGGGTGAGACTGAACTTCAAGGCAAGCCAGTTACTTACTGTCATCATGGTGGGCTGATGGGGTTTATACATGGTACTGGGTCTCCCTGCTGATATCAGCTCACCCTGACGGAGCTGAATATTGAATTATAGATCATACACAACTGACAGTGTATGATCAGTAAAACAATGTGGTAGCTGGGGTAGCATTAACACTCGCCAATTTAGCCAAATGCTAAAACTGACTGAAATTGGCTAAACAAAATAGGCTTGATTTGACTGATTTTAGTCAAATGTAAACCATTTGGACTAAAAAGTGATGAAAAAGTAGTAAATTGGCTAAACTAAAATAACTGCTAGCGCCACCCCAGGGTAGTGTGTGTATGTTTGCATGTGTACATGTTTATATAGCGTGGGTCTGCTTTTAGGTATTGTGTCATGTTTAAGTGTGACAATGTAAATCTCTTTTGAGAATACTTCACTAAGAAATGCTGTCAGTATGTGTCTCTCTGCATGTGAAAGCCCATGCTCAAGTGCACACACAAACTAAAATCCATTACTTTTAGGTGTATGAAAGAAAATTTTCAAATTGGCATCATAGATTTTTCAATCAGTTCTAGTAAGTCTAGACTAGGAAATCGCAACTAAATGGTGATACACAGTGACAGGTTTAACTGGGTAAGATATTCTACTATGTGATGTGTGGTTTTAACTTCACATTGCATACAGCAGAACTTCAATTGCCACAGAAACTCCAGGAAATTACCTAGTTGGCACATATTTCAGGTCACTGCATTAGGAGTGACAAGTGGAATTGTGCTGGAATTGCCATATTATTTTTTTTTTAACTTTTATCTTTTTTTATCAAATACACAATACCATAAAAGAATGAGTAATAAAGGTCTCTGCTAAAACAAAACCTTAAGAATCAACAAGTGATACTGACATCAAAAGCGACAGTTCCATACTTACTGATATCATGGTAGGCTGCTGAGGCTTATACATGGTGGGTCTTCCTGCAGACATGGGGCCGCCGGGAAAGGTGAAAATAGAAGGATGGCCTGACACAGGAATTGCCGAATGATGGTAGGAACCCAGGGGGATCATAGACTCGCTGCATTCAAAGAATTAAGAACAAAAATCATTTGACTGGAAAAATTTGATTAAGGCAAATAAAGTTATTATTTATTCATTTATTTATTATTATTATTGTTTTTATTTTTGCAAGTACAATTTACCAGCATCTGCAAAATTCTCAGAACTTCTTTTCTTTCTTGTACTAAATACAATTTTCCAGCATCTGGAAAATTCTCAAAACTGACTAAAGACAATTAAAAACTAATATGCCTACACATATTATTTAGTGGCCAATTGGTTTTAACAAAATACACAGTAAAAAGTATGGTTTTATGGGATGTCAAAGAAAACACTTTAAATTATGCCTGACAGACATCCTAGCCCATTTAAGCATTTATAACTAGCATAAGGTAATCATGCATATTAGAATAGGTAGCATGAGTTGTTTACCAAAGTTGATAATAAGGCTATATTGAAGGACTGGTAATTCATAAAATATTAAAGTTAACAATGTGATATAATATAAACAAAGTACTTCAACATCAGGTCTATGACCATCACCTTTGCTCTTTCATCTGCTGTCTCCGCCGTGTCTCATCTTCGTGGATTGCCTTCTTCAGAAGAGAGAACAACTCGTGTTTTTCCTGCTTCAGAGCCTCAAGTTGACTCTCCATCTGAGAGATCTGAATAAAAGTAGTGTAGCAACCAACTATTATCTTGTGTTCAAATGCTAATTAGGGTTACATCAAGAGAGAAAACCAAACTTTTTATTCAAGTATAACAAAGTACCAATGACCCACAGAGTTTTCATCTTATCAATGTGTGTTAAGAAAACAACAATTATTTTCAAATAAAACTTAAAAAATTTTACCAGCAGCCACAAGTTTCAAACAACAGCACTGGGAGTAGTACAGATTGGGTCATGCAAACAGCACGATTTGAAGATTTTACAATTCTACTAACTCTGTTTGAGGTATACAACAGTCTCAGCCTAATGGTTTTGTTTACAGTTAGTTTATATTTCAATATTATTGAATATTTTCATAAGTAAATCAAGATATCAGAGGTCTGCACTTCCATAAATTTCATAAAAATACATTACATGAGCTCCCTTTTGGACACCCACTGCCTTGTATTATCAATTCAGAGGGCTGTATTCTGGAAACTTGTTTAAAGTGACCCACTTCAGTAGGGTGACAATAGTCGGAAGGTTCAATAATCCAAACTTTGGACCAACGAATTAACTCTTTTATATATGTATATAAAAAAAAACTGATAAAAATGTTTCAAGTTTTGGACCAGTGAACCTTGGAACCACTATACTATTAAAAAAACAGCCCCTTTTGTGATGAGGTGCAAATGTTTGATGCCTGTGCTGTTCTTCAATTGTGAATATGTCTCAAAACTAGATATACTATACTTGTTCTTTTGTCTGCTCCAGGGTCAAGCTGTCTTCCTCCTCTTTCTTCTTTCTAGATTCTCTTTCTTTTCTAAGTCGTTCCTGCTCAGTCTCTTGTTCTTGTTCTGAAATTCCATAGTGGGCTGATTTATAAACGTATCCTCAGTTTTCAAGCAATTGATCTTGACATGAACAGTGCATGAAGGCAAGGGTAGATTATTTTTCAGAGAGACTTTAGTTGAGAGACAAGCAAAAGAATGGAGAGCACCCTAAAGACATCTGAATAGCTAGCTGGACATCATTTTACAGATATGCACAACTTTATGTTTCATACGTTTGTACATATAGCACTCATCGTATAAAATACGAGAGCTAACGCAAGAAGCCATGATGACTTTTCGAGCTAAGTAAGACCGTGACACCAGCCAACATATAAATTTTACCTTGTTTCTTTTTCTCCCTCTGCTTCATGATGTGTTTCTTCAAGGCTTGGTACATGGCCCTGGTCATCTTGGGCCTCTCTATCAGAGCAGGCATTCTGGAACTCTGATCAAATGTGGATACAAATTCCGGTCCTGAAAGCAAAACAACACGAACGGCTACTGTACGTGCAAATTTTAAATCTAAGAACATCCCCCAACACCTGCCAAGTTAAGGAACGTGTGAGCTTAATTTTGGTATAACGTTAAGAAAACAATATAATTATTTCCTTTGTGAACAGATATATCGATGATACAGCGCAAGACTATGTTCATATACTCACAAATATTCCAATTATATCTGGTGCGATTTGCAAATGGCTCTTTTATTAATTTACTCTCTATGAAAAGGAGGTAGAAAAGATAGTTTCACACATATCAAGATAGGCCGATCCGCCTAGTAGGGCTTTTTATACTGTTAGAAAACTATTCAGAAAGTGTGGACCTTCGCCAAGACGGGGGCGTCTCGATAGTCCGAAGGTTCATTGGTCCGAAGGTTCATTGGTCCGAAAAGTGGTAACATTTTCATCGATTTTTTAATCAAGGTTCATTGGTCCGAAGGNCACTCTGCACGTGCAAGCCCATACACAAGTGCACACACAAACTAAAATCCATTACTTTCAGGTGTATCAAAGAAAATTTTCAAATTGGCATCATAGATTTTTCAATCAGTTCTGCTAAGTCTAGACTAGAAAATCGCAACAAAATGGTAATACACAGTGACAGGTATAACTGGGTTAGATATTCTACTATGTGATGTGTGGTTTTAACTTCACATTGCATACAGCAGAACTTAAATTATCACAGAAACTCCAGGAAATTACCTAGTTGGCACATATTTCAGGTCACTGCATTAGGAGTGACAAGTGGAATTGTGCTGGAATTGTTATATTAATTTTTTTTTTTTTTACTTTTATCTTTTTTTATCAAATACACAATACCATAAAAGAATGAGTAATAAAGGTCTCTGCTAAAAGAAAACCTGAAGAATCAACAAGTGATACTGACATCAAAAGCAACAGTTCCATACTTACTGATATCATGGTAGGCTGCTGAGGCTTATACATGGTGGGTCTTCCTGCAGACATGGGGCCGCCGGGAAAGGTAAAAATAGAAGGATGACCTGACACAGGAATTGCCGAATGATGGTAGGAACCCAGGGGGATCATAGACTCGCTGCATTCAAAGAATTAAGAACAAAAATCATTTGACTGGAAAAATTTGATTAAGGCAAATAAAGTTATTATTTATTCATTTATTTATTATTATTATTGTTTTTATTTTTGCAAGTACAATTTACCAGCATCTGCAAAATTCTCAGAACTTCTTTTCTTTCTTGTACTAAATACAATTTTCCAGCATCTGGAAAATTCTCAAAACTGACTAAAGACAATTAAAAACTAATATGCCTTAACATATTATTTAGCAGCCAACTGGCTTTAACAAAATACACAATAAAAAGTATGGTTTTACAGAACGTCAAAGAAACACTGTAAATTATGCCTGACAGCTATCCCAGCCCATTTAAGAGTAACTACCATTATCATGCATATTAGAATAGGTAGCATGAGTTGTAGACCAATAAGGCCATATCAAAGGACTGGTAATTCATAAAATATTAAAGTTAACAATGTGATATAATATAAACAAAGTACTTCAACATCAGGTCTATGACCATCACCTTTGCTCTTTCATCTGCTGTCTCCGCCGTGTCTCATCTTCGTGGATTGCCTTCTTCAGAAGAGAGAACAACCCGTGTTTTTCCTGCTTCAGAGCCTCAAGTTGACTCTCCATCTGAGAGATCTGAATAAAAGTAGTGTAGCAACCAACTATTATCTTGTGTTCAAATGCTAATTAGGGTTACATCAAGAGAGAAAACCAAACTTTTTATTCAAGTATAACAAAGTACCAATGACCCACAGAGTTTTCATCTTATCAATGTGTGTTAAGAAAACAACAATTATTTTCAAATAAAACTTAAAAAATTTTACCAGCAGCCACAAGTTTCAAACAACAGCACTGGGAGTAGTACAGATTGGGTCATGCAAACAGCACGATTTGAAGATTTTACAATTCTACTAACTCTGTTTGAGGTATACAACAGTCTCAGCCTAATGGTTTTGTTTACAGTTAGTTTATATTTCAATATTATTGAATATTTTCATAAGTAAATCAAGATCTTAGAGGTCTGCACTTCCATAAATTTCATAAAATACATTATATGAGCTCCCTTTTGGACACCCACTGCCTTGTATTATCAATTCAGAGGGCTGTATTCTGGAAACTTGTTTAAAGTGACCCACTTCAGTAGGGTGACAATAGTCGGAAGGTTCAATAATCCAAACTTTGGACCAACGAATTAACTCTTTTATATATGTATATAAAAAAAAAACTGATAAAAATGTTTCAAGTTTTGGACCAGTGAACCTTGGAACCACTATATTATTAAAAAACACCCGCTTTTGTGATGAGGTGCAGATGTTTGATGGCTGTGCTGTTCTTCAATTGTGAATATGTCTCAAAACTAGATATACTATACTTGTTCTTTTGTCTGCTCCAGGGTCAAGCTGTCTTCCTCCTCTTTCTTCTTTCTAGATTCTCTCTCTTTTCTAAGTCGTTCCTGCTCAGTCTCTTGTTCTTGTTCTGAAATTTCCATAGAGGGCTGACTTATAAACGTATCCTCAGTTTTCAAGCGGGGCCGTAGCGATAGTCCGAAGGTTCAATAGTCCGAAGGTTCATTGGTCCGAATGTTCACTATAGAACCTTTGGACCAATGAACCCTTGATTAAAAAATCGATGAAAACGTTACCACTTTTCGGACCAATGGACCTTCGGACCAATGAACCTTCGGACTATCGAGACTCCCCCTTTCAAGCAATCGATTTTGACATAAACAGTGCATGAAGGCAAGGGTAGATTATTTTTCAGAGAGACTTTAGTTGAGAGACAAGCAAAAGAATGGAGAGCACCCTAAAGACATCTGAATAGCTAGCTGGACATCATTTTACAGATATGCACAACTTTATGTTTCATACGTTTGTACATATAGCACTCATCGTATAAAATACGAGAGCTAACGCAAGAAGCCATGATGACTTTTCGAGCTAAGTAAGACCGTGACACCAGCCAACATATAAATTTTACCTTGTTTCTTTTTCTCCCTCTGCTTCATGATGTGTTTCTTCAAGGCTTGGTACATGGCCCTGGTCATCTTGGGCCTCTCTATCAGCGCAGGCATTCTGGAACTCTGATCAAATGTGGATACAAATTCCGGTCCTGAAAGCAAAACAACATGAACGGCTAAGTGCAAATTTTAAATCTAAGATTGAGTAAGAAGATTCGCTAACACCTGCCAAATAAAAGAACGTGTGAGCTTAATTTATGTATAACGTTAAGAAAACAATATGTGTATTTCCTTCGTGAACAGATATATCGATGATACAGCGCAAGACTATGTTCATATACTCACAAATATTCCAATTATATCTGGTGCGATTTGCAAATGGCTCTTTTATTAATTTACTCTCTATGAAAAGGAGGAAGAAAAAATAGTTTCACACACATATCAAGATAGGCCGATCCGCCTACTAGTAGGGTGTTACAAAACTATTCAGAAAGTGTGGACTTTCGCCAAGGCAGCTCACTATTAAGCTTAATAAGTTCTGTATTGATAAGTAAAATGATCAACCAATTAATCAATTTACTCAACAACGTATGGTAACGCGCCCTGGGTAGGCCTAGATGGAACGCATAACTTCACAGCAACCTCAGATATCGTGGGTGGGGGCACAAATTAGACACTTTTGGCTTTGTAGAGCCAACTGGGAATGAGTTAGAGCAACAAACCTGGTGTTAAAGCAAGCTGCATGAGCTCAACTACATATGCAATCATTGAATGGGGAGGGGGGGGGGGGCAAGCTGGCCCAAGGGTCAGGAAAAGTTTGCACCTTATAGGCCTACAATGTAGTATCCCATGTAAACGCCATGAAATACATTTTAAACATTTTTATTTTACTAAATTGATATTTTAGAGTATTTATACTGAATAGGTAGTTTAAATGCTGTTTCTATAGGCCTACGTGACGTTGTATGTGTTGTAACCTATGTGTTGCAAGGACCCAACTAGGCCTACATGTAGGGGAGACCGGGGCACGTTCGGCCCCTTTTCCTTTGATCGGTTGTAGTTCAGCTGTTTGACGACGAATCCCAATGATGTGTTTTGAGTAGATAGACTGCTAAATTTCCTTTTTTTATACATTGGTCAAATGTAAAGAAGACCTTGCGTTTTTAAGAAATTTAACATGAAATAAATTTCCAACACGTGGCCGAACGTGCCCCGGCCTGGGGCACGTTCGGCCTCTCGATGGAGCACGTTCGGCCTGCAAATTCAAATACTTTCCTACCGATTTCTTTTATTTCCATTTCACATGAATACCTTAAAAATAGGTGTTTTGGTGCTAAACAGTGACGATATACTTGAAATAAGTAATATAGTTAGGTTTTAGAAAGATATGTAGGCCTAATTGAAATTGTTTGTTTGGTACATGTTTGTCCTGGAACTACATATATTGAACTTCTATTTTTTAATGCATAGGTCTTTATACTTCTCATGTATATCAATTACAGAACATGAAGGAACCGACCTACGTCAGTTTTGAAACCCCACATTTAATCCAACGGGAAAACTTTCTAATATTTGAAACCCAACAAAGCATTCAAACGCAAAACATCAACTTTAATCACAAAGAACATATTAACATACACAATTTGTTTGAAATAATGTCACGTTAAGGAAATATTAAAAAAAAAAACTAGATAACAACTCCAGTGATCTTTAAACAATGTTAATATTACCGGCCAGATGCCATAGTGTTTCTCTGGAAAATATAAGTTAATGATATGTACATGTATTAAATATTTGAATTAAAGGCTTCATGCGTGGTTGAAAAAACGCGACAATTAAAATGTGAAGATACAAGCTTAAGTTTTAACCCCATTAATGGCGCTGAAATGTTAGCATAAAACAAACTTTTTGGGCTTAAAAATAATAATTTTTAGGTCAAGTCTTTCGCCAAAGCCACGGGGCACGTTCGGCCCCAGGCCGAACGTACACAACCCAGGGGCCAAATGTGCCCCACCTTGAGGGGCCGAACTTGCCCCAAGCCTGCATTCCGAATGTATGTTACCATAGCAACATAATGAAGAAGACGACAGTGTGGTGCCATACCTCATTTAAATTGGCTTTCTATATGCTCTTATATTATAATGCATTGGTGACAGTAAGTCAACTAATTAATGCTAAAGTAGGCCCAAATTAAACAAACCCGTAAAAAATTTAACCCGTGAAAAATAAGTTTTTC